GTCCAGCCATGCTCTAGTAATGAATGCTTTTAGCGCCACTGCAGTGTTATTATAATTCAGAGAGAGAAAGACGCCTCCGCAGAGAGAGAGAGACGCGCGCGTGCAGCGCAATTATCGTTTTCGCGATTGCCGAACGCCAACGGGTTAATTGCTTCTTTATGCTAATACCAGTGAGCGTCTTCCGCTCGACTGCTGACAAGATTTGCAAACGACCAGGAAATCGAAATTTGAGCTGAGAAAATTTTAGTCAGCAGGGAAGTGGGATGTTTAATGGCAAGGATTAATCCTCTTGAAAGTTCCAATTCTGAAAGAGTCCACATTCTATATTTCAGCCGTACATAATTAGACTTTTATCAAGTAAGATAATTTTTTTTATCTTTTATTTTGAATTTAAATTACGGAATTTCCATTTTAAATATTTTATTTCAATTCAAAATCTTCAATTCTCTTTTCTACGCCCATGGTTCTTTACACTAAAAGTAGCACATTCATGTTTAAACCTTTGCAAATTTTAGCTCAAAATCATTTTTCGAGTTATTGTATTTCAATGCAGACTTATGTGCCCACATCTCAAGTTTAATTGTTCAGTATAATGATACACTCCTCTCATTCTGGCTGCTGCTAAGCTGTCCATTAAAGGCTTTTGTTGAGCCCGGAATTCCAGGAAAATTTCTCCGCCTGGAAAGTTCGGCGACGCGCCACTTGGTGCGCGGATAATGCTCAGTCTCTTTTGTGTATGCAGATGAAATAGGGTGTGAAACTCCATGGTGCATGTTATTGTCGGCTCAAGAGTCATTATCAAGGATCAATTAGGTCAATTCCTTTGTTAGCACAATTCGCCTCAGCTGATTTGACGCTCCATCTCGCCAGACAAACAAAAGAAAACGCGCCGTTCTTCCTGCCGCTGAATTGAATTAAATTACATTCCTTGTTTCATGCAAATTAATATAAAAAAATTCAACCTGTTCCTTGCGATGCACTAATATAGGTATAGGTGAATATAAAAAGTAAAAAAATCTGGGCGCCCCCTTTTTTGCAACCAGTTTGCGAACCCCTTTGGTGTTGAGTTTCGCACCGGCCGGCTTTTTGGTTTCTTTCTTGCCGCAAGAAGATACGAAACGAATAAGAAATCTTGCAGCTCGCAAGGTCAATGAGGAAAGTGTTGCGCTCCAGAGGAGAGGAGAAGGAGTGGCCGGTGCACATTTTTTTCTCCGTAAATTCCATCTCGGAATAATCGCATCCCATTTGCGTAATGCTTGCGAACGCCGGCCTGCGATACATTGTTGGAATAATAACAAAAATAATAAAAATGAAAAGAGCGGACGAGCACAGAAATGAGTAATAAACTTGTCCCAAGAGCACCGGAGAATTAAAACAAGCCCTGCATGTTGCGCAGGCGGCATTCTTATGATGTGCAGCATTTCATTTTGATATCGCGTGCTAGCAATTACAAAATGCATTAAAGCCGACGTCTGGAGAATTTTATCTTTTGATTGCACTCGCGATTTAGCAACTTTGAAATTTAAACTTCAATTTTTTTATGGTGATTAAAACGTAGAATTAATCAATAAAGATGCGGTAAAAAATTATCTTGCGAAAAGTAATAAAATGTTTAACTACGCGACCTTAATAATAATTTTCAATCATTTCTTAGAAAAGTGCAGGAAAACTTGACGTAAAATCTATTTTTACACGTGACGGAGGGCAAAGCGATAGGAAATCCCATTAATAGTTTTTAACTGCTCTGCTGTAACAATGATTTCTCTGCTCTCTCGTGACAAAGTATGGAGGAAACCGGCGGCAGCAGCCATTCCTTCTTGGCTTGGTGAGCGAACACAGGTCTCAAAACTGGTCCATCAGGGTTCACGAGGCGTGGCTGATTTTCGAGAAGAAATATTCCCGAGAGGTGATAAGAGAGCTTGTACGAGAGAGTTATTTTAAAACCCACCACCGCTCTCCATTTGATACAGCGCAGCATGCAATGTGGATAATTCTAACGGTGCTTCCTTTTTACACGGGTGACCAGAGCGCACCAATCGTTATTCAAATTATCTCTCTTGCCATCTCATGCTATTATTAATTTGTATTTATATCTTATTATTTGTCGGTGCACACACATGCATAAGAAGGTAATATATCCGCGCGCCGAGCACACCCGCGGGCCAGGGCGTCTCACGACGGAGGTGTGGCCGCTTCTTGTGCATGCAAAAAATATAGAACATTAATATAGTGGCTCGTGAAATGCGAATTAATCAATCAAACGGCTGTTATTCAGCGTTAATTGCGTCGGTGCAGGGGCAGAAAAAGAGTCAAACGTGCTGTTGAGAAATCTTTCGTGTAATCGAGTTGGGCGTGAATTGAGATTTGAGAATTTGAAAGTTGCCAAATTGCCCTTCAGCCGATTTAAAAAGCTTCCTCTCTGATAGAAAGCTGACGTCGTTTATATGGAGTGAATTAGATTAGCGAGAATTAAAATAAGTAGTTTTTGGCGTCACAAGATAAGGAGTTTTCATATATTTTATCATTTGCTCTTTTTACTGAAAAGAAGTTGACATTGGATTATTTTCAAGCGACAATTTCTACCTCAGCCAAAACGCTCATTTCTGGGAAAAAGATTAATTTTGATCACATTCCAAGATTTCTGCGAAGCATCTCCGCCGTGGGTCGATTTGCATAATATTGTACTTTATTTACCGCAAGCAAATCGGTCGAAAGAGTTCGTGTCGCGCGTTTTTCTTGCAATTCTCAGACTGCAGGGGAATTCCAGAAGCGTCCCGACGTTTCCATCCGCTCCGACTTTTCCCATAGAAAGGATGAGCGTGTTTATCGCACTACACGCTTCCCAAATTAGCGCTGTCGGAACTCTAAAAAGCTTAGCGACAAAGCGTCGTTTAATTAAGCTTAGGTGACAACGGCGATTCCACCTCGCAGCAGGGAAGTTTGAAAAGTAAATACACACAAAGTCAGCGGCAAAACAAAACAAAAATATTATTTCATTTTCCTCAGCTGAGAGAGTGTGGCCAAAAAATCTACATAATTTTTGCATGATTTCGTTGGCGTCGAAGAGGAAAAGGATGTAACGGTAGCCGCAGCGAGGAATCTCACGATTGTTTCCAAACGGCTAATTAGCCATGCACTTGTTCTTGCCGCGCTGCATTGTTCCATATTCTGCAGCATGCCAATTTCGCTGCGCACAAGAAAGACTTCTTGTTTTTGACCGGTGATCCAGATTTTTCGACTAGTTTAACTGCCTCAGTTATTCCGTCCAATTAAATACGAGTTTTCAATATTTAATGCTAAAAATAGAAATGCATTTCTCACGGAAAGTATAATTGTTTGGAATTTATTCTTGTCGATTTAACTTCTGAGCTTAAAATATTTATTTTCATAAAATGCAGAATTGGTGCTCCTCTTTGATTTACCCCCTTTTTGGAAGAGCGGCAAATAATTCAATTCAAGCACAAGAGAGAAGCGACCGGCAACTTTCTGCGCTGGAATACCTGCGAGGTAACAGCAGAAAACACAAGAAGAAGTTGAACGACCTAATTCCGCGGGCACCACGCCCTGCTCAACCGCTGCACATTCAACTCATGCGCTGCTTATTCGAATCGTCCACGCATTTTGGACCACCTTCACATCTCACCCAAATTTGATCTCTGCACACCTCCAAACAAGTCTCAACCGGATGTTGAGAATAATAAATAGTTCAATTAACAGCAGCCAATTTCTGTATCAACAGCTTTTTTGAGGAAGTCAATTATCTCGCTTAAAATTAGTAATTTTCACTTCAGTAGCCTTTTTTTAAATACACATATATTTTTAGAGTTTCTTGTCTGGAGAGAAAAAAAAATTGGACAGAGCAATAAAATAAATTACAAACAACTTTTAGTTTGAGATAAAACTGATAGTGCTTCCTGCTCTCTCTGTCTGTTCTCAAAAATAATAATAATAAAACGTCGAAGTGCCGCCGCACATTTGACACTTTTAATCACGTGCGGTGTGTGCATTAAAAGCGTAATTAAGTGCCGGTTCCGTTAAATTACACGAAGCTGGTGTGGCTGTGACAGCGACGAAATTAAGCTGGAAACGAATTACCAGGCCTGCCCTGACAAAGCGGCGGAAAATGATCCAATTTCTGATGCGTAAATACAAAGCATACCACCGAAGATTAAGCCGGCACGTCGAAAATGGAGCATTCATTGTCTCTCTCGCTCGCTCGCTCTCTTCCACATATGGGTGATTTTATCAAGCGATATACAAATATATATAAATAAATAAACATAATGCTTCATTATGTTGTGCCCGAACATGCATCATGGCAGCCAGATTAAACATACGGGCGTTTGATTGGGTCTGATTTAATCCTTCCCAAAGTCCCTCAGCTTTGTTTTTCCCATAAGCCGCGGCACCGGGAATAAAAAAATTCCGTTGCCAGACATCCCTAAAACAAAAATTGTGTTTTTCCTTCTCCTTCGGCCTGACGATGAGAGAGAAATTTCTACCTCATGAGATCAAAAGTTCCCCTTGCGACGCAACAGGTCGACGAACCCTCGCGTCTATAAAGACTGACTCTCCTTGTCTGTCCACAGGCCACAAATTTTCTGGCCACTAGATTCCTTCTCGAGCGAATTATATTTTAAAAAGGCACCAAACCACGGAATTCGTTTTTAATTGGTCTGATGTATAGACATAAATAATGTTGCCATCGAGGCCCAGCGGTTATTGATTTGACGGCAGACGAATTATATTTATTAATTATTATTAATGAGGCTTGCCTAAGCTAGTAAAATATTTAATATTTATTATTGACAAAACTTCATATAGTTGACTCAAGCAAATTACATTTTAATGAATATATTTCTTGCATTTAGATTAAGATTTTTAAGAATGAAGAAAACAATTTAAAATTCTAAAATAAAATAGTAATTAAATTTTAATTTGATTTTAAATATCTGTGGAATTTTGTAATAATTTGTTTTTTTTTTCGCTTTTTGTTGCAGGTAATGCACGATGTGCTACGCGAAGACGGGCCCGACTGTTGGACAGGCGGAGGGTTGCTCGACTCGAAAATGCCAGGGGTGGTTCTGCACGACCGACTAATGACAGATGCCGCCCTGGGGGCAGTGCCCATAAAAACGGAGCACTCGTACAGCCTGGCCTCGGATGGCGACAGCATGCCCGAATCGCCGATCAGCCTGGAAACCATGGAAGACGGTCAGTGCACGCTAATTATTTTTATTTTTAGGAAAAAACGCCCCTTTTGACACGCAAAATTTATTTCGAAAGCGACATGACTTACTGCCATGCTCATTAAAGCCACTTTTCCGACTTGGCCCTGGATTTTCCCTTGCCTTCGAGCAACATGAAAAATTTGCTTAATGCCCGCATTGTCCGAGTTGCTCATTAAACCGCGCGTTTTTTTTTTTTGCCTTTGATAAAAAAACGCACGCGGAAAGGGCGATTACGAATGCAAAAGGCGGCGCGACAAACTTTGGCAAAAGCTCATTTAGAAAAGTTTTGCCTCTCATTAGGTACTAATGAGCGGATTTTATTTTTGCTTAATTTTTCATTCCTGAAACACGTGGAAAAAAGTCTCCGATGCAAATATATTTTATACATGATGGAGGGAAATTATTTGATGGCCTAAATTCGTGGCGGAAGATTAGATCATACCGTCGGAGGAGCGGAGTGAAAGGGGTTAGGATAATTCCAAATCATATAATGACTGTGGCGGTGATGGGGGCTCAGAAACTTTCACCTCCGCCTGCTGAAAAACCCCCGGCTCGGTTTCTATTCGGCTGCACTGATCGTTGTGCGGTTTCGCGAAACAAATTGTGTGTATCATTGATCGCCAATCAATTAAGCGAATTTCGCTTCCTTTAATTCATGCTGTGGAACGAAATTCACGGACTCATTCGCCAAGCTTCTTGAATTGAATTCAGACACTTGGAGAAATTAAAATTTTATCTGTAATAACAGTAAAGAATTTGTTTTATGTCATATTCACTTATTTGAAAAAGTTCCAATTAAATTTTTATTATTGACTTATCAATTCAGGGAAAATTTGATAATAACTTTTTTTGTTAAATAATCCAAAATTAATTCCTTTTTTTTTTAGATTTTTGCAAAAATTTCAAGTTCTGGTAAGTCTGATTCTGAAATGTATCTCCTGAACGCTGTGAGCGCAGAAAGTTGGCGCCAGCGGCGTGCAAATCATTGCCGTCTTAACACCCGTAATTAACTGCATTCCGGTGTCGGTCGGCGATATTCGGAGCTTCTCTGCTGGAAATAAATAAACTGCTCTTTTAAAAGGCGCCGGTAGTAAACCCTAAGCACATGCACGCCTGTTTTTTTTGCATCTCTCGGTCGGCGTGAAAACGTCTCACTCCCACAATAACGGGAAAATTGGCTTCTTTGCACTCCCACGATTGACTGTCGCCACTCGGCTTGTGTTTACTTTGCATCTCCTTCATCTCCCGATACCCGCGGCGGCCCCTTGGCGGCGAAATAAAATCATGCAATCATTGCTTTTGCGGCACGTCAACTTGTAAATTGGATTGCGCTTTTAGCACACGCGGACCTCCCAGGCTCGTTACTTACTCGCTGCAAACAATACAAAAGTTATCCATTATTTTAAATTGCATACCTCGACGAGTACCAGAATTATTGCGGACATTGCAGCTCGCGGCATTCATTTGCTAGTAACAATCGTGCAAATAAGTTTTTTTACAACTCTCTATCAGTCAACGTTTTGATCAAAAGAATTAAATGAAGTGAAAAACAAGCTCGTCCTAGTTGGAAATTATTATTTTTTTTTTATTCAAAAAGCAATCGGCTGTACCAGTTTTAATCGCAGTCTGCAGCCTTTGGTAAGCAAAAAATTGTAATGAAAAATTATATATTTATTTTTAAAAACAAACAATGAGCAGATATAATTTAATACAATTTAATTTCTATGTTGCAAAAATTGTCAACCGAAGAACAGTTATTTGTAGTACTCGGAAGACACAAACTGGAGCGTGTTCCGATCATATAACTGCGCATTTTTCTTGCTAGTTCTTTCAAATTTTTTGCTCCTCAGTTGCCGAAAAAATCCGCGTCGCAGTTTGTGTTTACAATCAGATCAGAATCTCGTAGCAACAAGTGGCATTTAAATGTTCTGAAATTTAATCGCTTAAAAATCACATCTCTGACTCATCTTTTTTTTCAATTTAGGGGCGGCTGCGTCTTCGCCTTTGAAAAAATCCTATTCACATTATGTCTGACTCACGATATATTCTACTTGTGGTGCACTGGGCGATAAATTCGATTTTTTGCCCTGGCATTTTATCAAACGGCACACATGTCGTTGGCTGCGCATGTGGCGCGCTACTAAGAATGTTACATACTATTCATTTATATCGTGGGACCATTCCCGCAGCACCTTGCAGTTTCTCATCCGCAGCAGTCTGCGCGTCCCAAGCCAAGAAAAAAGGCCGACGAACAATCCGAGAGAGCTATTTCCAAGAAGAGGGAAAAGCGATTGGCAAAAAATTCAGTCTGAACAAAAAAAACATCTTTTAGCGAAATTTCTATTCACGTTGAAAATAAAATAGTTAAAATGTGGTTAAAATTTACTCCTCAAATTAACTATTTCAAGTTTACCTATTTAAAGATTAAAATCTATATTTTGGCTGTTTTTTTGTCCGTGTCTCATTGCAAAGTAATTGTTCAAAATGATGCGAATACCGCTTGGGCCCGTCACAGTGTCTCTCTCTATCTCTTCGCATAAAGACGCACGCATGTATAAAATAAACACAGCTGGAGTTGTCATTCGCCAGACCCATTCAATATCTCTCTCGCTCACTTTTTTCTCGTTCGCCAGGCGGATATGCTGGATTTTTGTACAGAGAGACATATTCACATATATACATGCGGTACAAACAAGTTGGCTGCTATACTTACTTGGCAACTCATGTGCGGGTTAACGAGAGCAAAAAAGACGCGCTCGCAGAACAAAACGGGCGACTCGCTTGCTAGATGAGAGGCTTGCCCGAGAGAAAGAGAGAAATAATTACTCGCATGCCTTGTTAACCCTTTCGTTACATAATGTTTCACAAGAGAGCAACAAGGGCGTCGTTTCCTGGGGAGAAAAAAATCAGATTTTTTTTGCAAAGCTTTATTTTAAATAAAAAAAGGAAGTGAACAAATGTTTGCGTTCAAAATTCACTTTCTGCACATAAATAAGACTCGTTTTTGCGACACGGCTGCTATTTTTAAGCACAAAATAAATTCTCAGTCAGTGTGAAACTCCCACAGTATGGAAGTTTTGTTCTCCATAAGTTGTTTTGCCACGGAATTCATTGTCCGTCTTGACTCGAAGTGAAAATGGAATAAGCAAAATATTGAGATCAAAAGTAAAAAATCCATCTTGTATGGTTAAAAAAGAATAATTTCTAAATTCTATTTTTTGATACATTAAAAAAATTAAAAATATGCTTAAAAAAACTTTTAAGAAAATAAATTGTTATTCCAAAATGGAGCAAATTTGTATTTCGAATTTTGAAATTAATTTTAATTTATAAGATTTCTTGCTTTTAAATTATTCATTGATATTGTTTTAATGAATTCTCTAAGTCGTCTTAAATTTGTAAGATAAAAAAATATTTGTGCAATCTCAGATTTTATTTTGGGCAGTGTTTTGCGACAATGACGTCTACGCAGTTCCTCCTACGCAAACGTCCTATCCTGGTTGCTTGTCGCGTGTATGTTTTTTGGTTTTGATTGATTGACTGACTTAGCGACGCGTAAGACACAATAGCCTGCGGCGGATGGAGTGAAAACACCTCGCACGTCGTCTGAATGGAAAAGGGTTGGCGTTATTTATTTTGTGCGTAGACAAGGCCGCGCGCGCGAATGAATGGGTCGCAAAATAGCTCTTTCACACATTACGTCGTCGGCGGCGGCGGTGATTGTTGCCCGCGGGGGTGGTGCTGCTGGTTGAGGAAGGGCTGCTGCGTAGGCTTAAGGGGTTTGCACGCCCACGCGGCCCGAGCGCTGTGACGCACCCCGTCCGCGGATGACGTCACGCGGTGCCCACCAGTTGCTGCTGCAGCCGTGCAGATAAAACTTACCGCGTCTTATTGTCTGTGAAATTGGATCAGCGCGATTTTATTAGATGCCTCACTGCGGGGGTGCACTCCCGAAAAACAAAAAAAAATTGGATTTGCCCTTTTTCGTTTATAAGAGTGCGGCGCACTTGATTTGGCTCCGTCAATGCGCCGTCGATTTACCACAGGCTTCAAATTATGTTATATTTGCTGCAAAGGGAGGGTTCGCCAGGAACTTTGAGCGGAGATTATCTCATCTCGGAAGTTTGTGGTGGCAAAAATGTATACATTTAGACTCGCAAATTGGAATTTCACTGTCATTATGCTGCTATTTATTTATCGAAAACAGAATGAATTATACAAATTAATGGTGAAAAAGAAATAGTGCTACAATATATTTGAATCATGATCAGACTTTTAATTAATATGATAAACGGCCAAGGTATCTATAATTTCTGCTGAAGACTAAATAAAATAATTATCTCTTTAAATCTCTTTGAGCAAAATATTAAAAATGCGTAATATTATTGAAGTTCTTCCTGTAATTAAGCGAATTTATTTCCGTTAAAAATTTTTTTATCAAACTTTTTAATCAATTAAATCGAGTGCGAATTGACTGAATTTTTTGATTGGATGATAAATTAATATTTGATGAAACTAAATATTTAAAAAAATATTAAACGCGAATAAAAAAAAATCAGCTTTGCGAATAAAGAATTTTTTCAATTTTTCCACTGACATTTATGACCTGTTGTCCGTTTGTTTAGAACAAGGTTTCGGTCCAATAAATCACATCTTGCCAGGCCTTCCGCCGACCGGAACCACACAAACAGCAATTTCATAACCGATTGAGGGCTCAGGAGAGTTCGCGAAGCCTGGAGGAATGCCGTTTGCGAATAAAAGAAACCGCCCGCGCTTTCACAAAAAGCCCTGACTGCCTTTCAATGGCCACCCCTTTTATATATTATTACTCGACCGCCGACTATGCAACCCACGCAAAAGGCCAGGATGGAGACTGTCAAAACATTTCATTTCGCTTTTCACTCGTCGAGATTTTTCCTAGAAACGCGTCTCCACTTACAAAACATCAGCCATTAGAAAAAAAAACCTTTTCCCTCCACCCCCGCGAGCTTTTTCCTCCCTTTCCGACTAATCATCTCAGGGTTTTGCAAATTGCACCGACGAAATGGCAAAGTTCGCAGCGTGTAATTAAATGTCGCAGAGTTGCGTCGTTGCTCGCAAATATTTGAACTGTTTTTGTTCTTCTTTGTCTCTTCATTGTCTCAGCAGATTAATTCGAGCTTCATTATGCAAACTTTGTCTCGCTGAGTCGCTTTAACTAAGCAAGCAGCAGCAGCACCGACGACGGTGCTCGCAATTTACATATTGACAAGCCGCTTAGCTGCAAACGAGAAAATTAAGCTGACGTGTGCCATAATTAAACCAAAATTTATTTATTTTCAAAGCAAAAAGAATCAAAAAGTGACTGAAATTTTGAATACAGAATTTGGAAAGGTTTTTAAATTAAAACTCAAAACAATAATATTCATATTAAAAATCATCCTCCAAATAAAAAAATAAATAGCCTGCAGAATTATATATATAAATTTTTTTAAATTTTCAAATTTATTAAAAAAAAAACCTTTTTCCTTATAATAAAATAGCGTTTGTGTTGTGAGTGAAAAATCTGCCTGCAGGATTCCTTTAAACCCTGGTTCAAGTTACATGAAAAATTGCATTTTGATGTTCTCTCCCACGCCTCTCGAGTCATGATGAGTGACCACCGGTGCGGAGAGTGAGAAGGTGTGAACGACACACGAGCAAATAAATAAATAAATGCTCATTCCGACTCGGTAGCCGCGGACATGAATGGAAATTCCAGCAGAGGAGCAGCAGCAGCTGCCCCGAGCCGCTTTTATTATTGCTAGATTAATTGTCGACAGATAAAATCAGCGCGCGCATATAATTAAAGTGCAAGGCCTGCATATTTCTCTCTTTGTTTCTGTGCACGGCGCTGAGAGTGCATTCGTGTGCACTGCTCCTCGCGGCCGGCCGGAGACACAATAGGAATGTAGTCGTGCAAGTGAGGCTGTGTGGGCATCGCAAGGTCTCAGGACCTATTTGGCTTCGCTGCCGAGAGTCCCTGACACTAATTGTATAAATCCAGGAGTGCACGAGCACTGGAGCTCGCACAAAGAATAATAATAAACATTAATGGTTCAATTTTATTTAATTAAATTGTATCTATTTGAGGCTATAAAAATGTTTTTTTTTTTTAAATTATACAATTGTAAAAATAATTTTCGAAAAAATTAATTTAAAATTTACTTTTTTTGTTTAACAGATGATGATCTTCTCCTCACTATGAATATGAAGAAGAACGCAATGAAGAGCGAAAAGGAGTCAGAAATCACATTCCTGGATGTGAAGCAGGAGCCTCTCAGTTCGCCGCCCTCGCCAGACTCGTCCTCCGACGACGACGCCCGTTCCACAATCTCGGTTGGCGACAATGAGAATCCAATCACCATGATGGACTTGGTCAAACAAGAGAGCAGGGTAGGTCGTCCTTTTACAATAAAAAAAAGAATTAAACCAACGCGTATAATTCAATAAGATAAATAAATTACTATATTTGCGAGACGTGAATTCTCAATTAGTTTATTTTTTATCGGTTATTCTAGATGTCCGCACGCACATCTTATCATCAATATGTAAAACTTGACTTTGCTTGGCAGCGAGAATTTTCAATTACTGACAATTGTTTGATCACTTGCAGGTACCCACACAGTCACAGAGCCTGCTCAAGCAGCCACAAACAATATACCTTACTACCAGAGGCAACGTCTTTGGCCAGCAACAAGGCCGCGTCGTCATTCCAAAACTGAACATCAAAGTCGAGCCAGGCACTGCTGGTGAGAAAACCTCATATTTCTCTCAAGATTTATATTGATTTGATGCAACTTAATCTCAAAATAAATCAAAGAGACTTTTAGAATTTTTTGTTGTACAAGAACAAATTAAAAATGTTTTAATTTTTTTAGTAAGCATTAATTATTCTGAGTATTTTTTGTATTAATTAAATAAAATTTCTGATATTTCAGGTTTCTCCTTGCCACCAACTCCTCCCTCGTCCAACTCAAGCGACAGCGAGGGCAACGTTTCACCCCTTCACGGCTCACCCCCGTCCCCCCTGACCGCTGGGGGTCGCTCGATTCAAGCGCGCCAGAGCAGCAGCAGGTTGTACCTGTCCGGCAGCAACAGCAGCGCCTCCAACAACAGCAACAACCAGGCCCACTGCAGACAGCCCATCCAAACGCCACTCATCAGCACACAGCCTGTAAGTTTGTAATTTAAAAACTGCATTTATCAGGAAATTGAATTTCACATATTTGCAGAAGGGCACAACTGGTATGTTGTCATTAACTGAAGAGGAGAAGAGGACCCTCCTGGCCGAAGGCTACCCCATTCCAACCCGACTGCCCCTGACCAAGGCGGAGGAAAAGTCACTGAAAAAGATCAGGAGAAAAATCAAGAACAAGGTAAATTTTTTTCTGTAAACATAAAAATTTTATTAAAACAAATCAAGTTTTAATTATTGCTCTTCTTATTAATTCCAACCTTATGCAATTTCCAGATCTCAGCCCAGGAGAGTCGACGCAAGAAGAAGGAGTACATGGATGCGCTTGAGAAGCGAGTCGAGAACCTGCTTAATGAGAACTGCGAGTACAAGAAGAAAATTGAGTCTTTGGAGGGCTCCAACTCAAATCTGCTCTCGCAACTGCACAAACTGCAGCAGCTCGTCAACCAAAACAACGCATCAGCACCTCGCAGCAGAGCATCTGCATCGGTAAGCTAAGAAGACAAATTTTTTTTTCTGCAATTCTTTTTTTTGCGTGGCTTTTGCTAATTGTGTGCGCTTTTTGTAGTCCACGTCTCACCACTTCACGAGGAATTCATTAAAATAAGTTGTGACCTCACCTGCACATTTCAACTAACCATTCCATCCACTGTATAGTCTTCAGGGTGAGTTTGTCTCGAAACAAAATATTCCTCAGTCAATTACAATAAAATTCGATTGTTTCAGGTTTGGCCATCACTGTAAATAATTCATCAAACATCTCATAACTAGTCTTCCGTCCTGTATAAATCATAATATGGGAACAAACAAAAGGGCAACTTTGGAGCCAACCTGAACTGGTAAAACTTTGTCCGCGAGGTTTTAAATTCAGTGGCTGAATTTAAGCTCTTTCGCAGGCAAAAGCTATCCCAGTTCACCACTCTAAAACATTCCACGGAATTTATCAAAGATCCACTACTCAAGAAAGACATCAACTAATACACTAAAGTGGCATGGACTTGTTCGAGCAATGGGCAAACTCGCAAATAATCAAGTGCAATCAATATATAATTTGTGTTATAGCGTCAAGATTTTTTTGTAATTCGTTTTAAGCACGGTTTGATTTGTTAATTTTATATGAAATGTACAGCCTGTGTGTGAGCACGGGACATCCATTATTCCATTCATTATTTAAGAATCATAAAATGTGTATGATAGGTTTTAAATTGTAAGGCTAGCTCACTTAATTATTATGTTTTTCTGATTTTAAACCTGTTACGCATCAAGAACGGTAACACACAAGGATTGCCAAAACTGCATCAGTTTTGCTTATTTTAAAATATCATGAGATATCAAATTCATTCAAGACGACACTGTTCGTACTTTTTTTGACATTTTTCAATTCACGTGAGTTTGTTTTGTTTTTCCATACAAGTTATGTCTAGTCTTGCTTGTTTTGTATGTGGAGAAAGATATGAGAGGCGGAGCAGATTAGACAAATTTAGAAGTGACAAACGGAGAGCAGTGTCGTAGTGTACGGAGATGAGGGGAAAGTGATGATTCCTAATTATTATTGCCTTATTACCAAGACACAAATGAACGGATAGAGAAAATGTACATATTTATATAATGAGAGACAAAATCAAGAGAAATACGTCGTTGATTTTAAATCACATTGTTATAACCAATGATATATATCCATGTTAAATTATTATTACACAATGCATTGAGGGAGGTTGTGCCGGTATACGCGGGGCTAGAAAATTCAGGACAAAATGATGCCACAATGTGACATTCATGCAACTCTTTTGTGCAGAATTTACAGCTTGCCATGGTCTGTCCAATCGGCCGAGCTCCCATTTAAAGCAAAACTTTAAGGTCGGTGGCTGGGTTGAGACTTAAAAAAACTTTATAAAAAGCAGAGTCAAAACTCGTTATCACACATTCATAATCGATTCAACTAAAATCTACTCTTATATTGCTTTAATTTAAGAACTGATGATGAATATCAACACAGATTACTTAACACGATTTACAAGGGCTCGAGAGCGTTTCGCCCCGATATATTTTTAATAAGCCTATATACATATATGATACATACATTAAATGCATAATTACATACATTAAATGAATAGAGATATATACAGCCGTGTTGCATACACATTCATGATTGTGGCCGTTTAGGGTTTAGTCGGTGCTAAAATGACTGAAACACAAATTAATTATCCATTCCTTGAGACTGGGACAGAAATCAATTTTCAACTCTCGATGCTGAAAGTAAAATGTGTCTGTCTCCGAGAGCTCCAATACAATTGTTGAAGAAGGAAACTGATTGTCAATTAAAAATCTAACAAACAGCTAATCAGGCAATTTTCAACGTGTCTATTAAATGTCTATTCAACACTCAGCAGCAGCTATAATGCTTTGTTTTGAGAACGAAATCTTCGTGTCTATATTGTGCAGAATAGCCAAATGTTAAAGAAGTGATGCAAGGATTATAAAAACGATGAGCGCGGCCTAAATTGAATTATCCAGTATGATCGAAAAAATATGAACTAAATTTCCATAATCAAACACCGACTGTTTTAATTTAAATTTTGAATTCATTTCGTTTAAAAGAGTGCGTGTTGTTTTTCGTACTTGTCTTTGTCTAGGCACCTCTATTTTTGCGCTTATGTTGTTATTTTAATATTTGAAATTAAGTAACCGCCAATTTCATACTTTCCATGATAAGCATTTGTTTTTTTAGTTTTTGACGCGTTCGTACTTTTTTTTTGCGATTTTGAGGATTTTTACCATACACAATTAAGTTGCTCAAAGCACACCTTTCTGTCTCATAACGCTGGTTAAATTTCAAACATCCGGCCTGTTTTGAATTGTTTTCGTGTTCGAGTGTCAATCATTCGTTCATAATTTAATATTCATTACCCATCCCCAAAAATATATGCAGTGATCAATGGCTGAAAATTGTCATTCATGATGTCAATTTAGCTAAACAGAGGAACAAACTACCTAAGTTTTAAGAGAGTATAACATAATTTTGTTGCTCCGTTTTCTCACAAAACAATTATGAAGGTGATGTAGACGTTCTTTTGAATCGCAGGGGATTTTTAACAAACTCTGTATTTATCGTCCTATACAAACCAGACAACTACATCATAGTGTCACACAGCTCTGTATGTTCTACTTGTAACTGTCAGAATGTAACCAGGATTCATTATTGTATCTCGTGCTGGTATGTTGTTTTCAATGCAATCAATGAATTGAATAAAAGGGTACAAGTGAAAAAATTACGCTTTCAGTTTTTCCTTTCACACTTTCATTGACCCATCTTTAAGGGTTTTTTATTAATATCGTATAATCTATAGATATCAAAAATAGTGTGTATTTATAAAAATGACAAATGTTGTGTGTATTTGATTAAATCCTTAAATCTGCAGTTGACTGATCAAGTATTCATCATGCAGTGCATTATGTGTGCCGTCTTTGAAGGCCTTCTTCTTACACAGTTTGCCGCAGTACCACAACTTTGGCACACTGGTGTTGTCAATGTCATCCCTGCACATTCGGCAAAGTTTCAGCTTGGCGCCCATGTAGCCCTCCCAGAGACCGCACACAGCGCAGATCTTCTTTCTTTTCGGCGCATTTTCCTCTTCCTCTGCCGAGGGGAACAGGAGGCACCTGATGGTGTGCAGGAAGGCATCAACGTCGCCATCCATAAACTGCTGGACTGTCTCTCGGACCAAACTGCCACACTCGATGGGCACCGAGTAAGGAGGAATGTGACCTTTGGACACCTCCATGTCTCTCTTGCGGAGCTGAGCAAAGATCTCGCTGAGTTTAAGTAAGTGAAGCTCGGGATTCACTTTAGCATTGTCGGTCATAGTGTTGCAGTACCTCCCCGAGTGATACTTGTCCAAGCAGAACCTAGAGGGTGAAAAACTAAGGTTTAATTTCAATATTATAAAATCAAAATTCTTTATTAACTGAAAAATTAAAATTATTATTTGTACTCCGCGGCGTAAATATAAAATAAAAATAAAGATTAAATCTTACCTAGCAGGGTTATCATTTGACTGTTCCAGAGGTGAAAGAATTTCATTATGGCCAAGTAGAAGAAGCAAACGGGAATGTCAGCTTCCTTCCAGAGATGAAAAAGGCTAAAATCTCAATAAAATTTTCATCTCACTTAACATGGCCAGAGTCTGATGCAAGTGTGAATTTAAATTATATATGTTCAAATCAAGATTATACCTTCTTATCCGCTCAGGGGTGAAGAGTTGGCTCCTATGCAGGACGCTACTCTTCCTCATCATCAATGCTCTGCTCAAAAGAAAAAACTTAAACAAATCTTATTTTCCTTGGAGACCCCAGAGCTGGTTTTGTAAGCTGCAAAATTGCACTATTTTATCTTCAGAAGACAAATTATCAACCATTATTTGTTAATATTTGAAACAATCCTGCAAAAATTTTGTTATATCTGATATCCTATCATAGTTTTTCAATTTTGGATCATAATTTATATTTCAAATGTATTTAATAGGCATGCATATAAAAGGACGCTGACATCAAACCTCACCGCAAGGTAAGGTTTGAGTCAATTTAGATAGTGAATTATTTTTCAGAAGTAAATAATAGGCAAGCGTATAAAAGGACGCTACATCAATACTCGCCGCAAGGTAAGTTTTGAGTCAAAAAGTCAAGTGAAAAAATTAATAATCAATTAAATTAACTTCTTAGTATAAAAATTAAGTAACAAAAATAGCTCAGCCTGTGTGTTTCTTTTCGTGTGTCGTTCACCGTCACTGCTACACTCAAACTTCTGTTCCTTTTCTTCCTTCTTTGCGGTGCTCCCTGCTTGAACCTGATCTGCTGATCTGGGCGATCATGTCCAGGGTTTCGATCACACCTATTCAAGGTGATCTGCAAAATGCGAAGGATCAGGATTAAAATACAACAGTTTGCCTGCAGAAGAATTTTTCCTCATTTCATTTATATACATATGTTCAAATCTAGCTTATACCTTCTTTTCGGCTCTGGGGTGAACAGTTGGCTCCTTTGCAGGACTCACTCTTTCCCATCATCAATGCTCTGCCCAAAAGAAAAAACTTAAACAAATCTTATTTTCCTTCGAGACCCCAGAGCTGGTTTTGTGAGCTGAAAAATTGCACTGATTTATCAAATTCATAACATTTTTACCTTTCAATAAAATCCCAAATATTTTTCATTTCAAAATAACTAGGATTTTTCAGCACAAGCTCCTTTGACAGGTGCAGCGCCGTTGAACCCACATTTACATTTTATAAAATCCAGAACATTTCTCGATTCAAAAAAGCTAGGATTTTTCAGCACAAGCTCCCTTGACAGGTGCAGCGCTGTTAAACCCACATTTACATTTTATCAAATTTATATCATTTTTACCATTCAATAAAATTCCAAAAATTTCTCGATTAAAATTAACTAGGATTTTTCAGCACAAGCTCCCTTGACAGGTGCAGCGCCGTTGAACCCACATTTACATTTTATAAAATCCAGAACATTTCTCGATTCAAAAAAGCTGGGATTTTTCAGCACAAGCTCCCTTGATAGGTGCAGCGCCGTTAAACCCACATTTACATATTATCAAATTCATAACATTTTTACCATTCAATAAAATTCCAAAAATTTCTCGATTAAAATTAACTAGGATTTTTCAGCACAAGCTCCCTTGACAGGTGCAGCGCCGTTAAACCCACATTTACATTTTATCAAATTCATAACATTTTTACCATTCAATAAAATTCCAAAAATTTCTCGATTAAAATTAACTAGGATTTTTCAGCACAAGCTCCCTTGACAGGTGCAGCGCCGTTGAACCCAAATTTACATTTTATCAAATTCATTACATTTTTACCTTTCAATAAAATCCCAAAAATATCTCGATTAAAATTAACTAGGAATTTTCAGCACAAGCTCCCTTGACAGGTGCAGCGCCGTTGGACCAACATTAACATTTCATAAAATCCAAAAACTTAAACAAATCTTATTAGAGACCCCAGAGCTGGTTTTGTAAGCTGCAAAATTGCACTGATTTATCTTCAGAAGATGAATTATCAACCGTTATTCGTTAATATTTGAAACAATCCTGCAAAAAATTTGTTAGATCTGATATTCTTTCATAGTTTTTCAATTTTGGATCATAATTTATATTTCAAATGTATTTAATAGGCATGCATATAAAAGGACGCTGACATCAAACCTCACCGCAAGGTAAGGTTTGAGTCAATTTGGATAGTAAATTATTTTTCAGAAGTAAATAATAGACATGTATTTAAGAGGACGCTGACATCAAAACTCGCCGCAAGGTAAGCTTTGAGTCGATTTGGGCACTAAATTATTTTTCAGAAGTTAATAATAGACATGTATTTAAGAGGACGCTGACATCAAACCTCGCCGCAAGGTAAGGTTTGAGTCAATTTAAATAGCAAATTATTTTTCAGAAGTAAATAATAGGCAAGCGTATAAAAGGACGCTGACATCAAAACTCGCCGCAAGAAAAGCTTTGAGTCGATTTGGGCACTAAATTATTTTTCATAAGTAAATAATAGACATGTATATAAGAGAACGCTGACATCACACCTCGCCGCAAGGTAAGGTTTGAGTCAATTTGGATAGTAAATTATTTTTCAGAAGTATTTTTCAGAAGTAATAGGCAAGCGTATAAAAGGACGCTGACATCAAAACTCGCCGCAAGGAAAGCTTTGAGTCGATTTGGGCACTAAATTATTTTTCAGAAGTAAATAATAGACATGTATATAAGAGAACGCTGACATCACACCTCGCCGCAAGGTAAGGTTTGAGTCAATTTGGATAGTAAATTATTTTTCAGAAGTAAATAATAGGCAAGCGTATAAAAGGACGCTGACATCAAAACTCGCCGCAAGAAAAGCTTTGAGTCGATTTGGGCACTAAATTATTTTTCATAAGTAAATAATAGACATGTATATAAGAGAACGCTGACATCACACCTCGCCGCAAGGTAAGGTTTGAGTCAATTTGGATAGTAAATTATTTTTCAGAAGTAAATAATAGGCAAGCGTATAAAAGGACGCTGACATCAAAACTCGCCGCAAGGAAAGCTTTGAGTCGATTTGGGCACTAAATTATTTTTCAGAAGTAAATTATAGACATGTATATAAGAGAACGCTGACATCACACCTCGCCGCAAGGTAAGGTTTGAGTCAATTTGGATAGTAAATTATTTTTCAGAAGTAAATAATAGGCAAGCGTATAAAAGGACGCTGACATCAAAACTCGCCGTCAGGTAAGCTTTGAGTCGATTTAGACACTAAATTTTTTTTCAGAAGTAAATGATAGACATGTATATAAGAGAGGACGCAGACATCAAACCTCGCCGCAAGGTAAGGTTTGAGTCAATTGCAATAAAAAATTATGAATCAAAACTCTAAGTATTATATGTGAACTTGGGACGCTGACATCAAAACTCGCCACAAGGTAAGTTTTGAGTCAAAAAGTCAAGTGAAAAAATTAATAATCAATAACTTCTTAGTATAAAAATAAAGTAACAAAAATAGCTCAGCCTGTGTGTTTCTTCTTGTGTGTGTGTCGTCACCGTCACTGCTACACTCAAACTTCTGTTCCTTTTCTTCCTTCTTTGCGGTGCTCCCTGCTTGAACCTGATCTGCTGATCTGGGCGATCATGTCCAGGGTTTCGATCACACCTATTCAAGGTGATCTGCAAAATGCGAAGGATCAGGATTAAAATACAACAGTTTGCCTGCAGAAGAATTTTTCCTCATTTCATTTATATACATATGTTCAAATCTAGCTTATACCTTCTTTTCGGCTCTGGGGTGAACAGTTGGCTCCTTTGCAGGACTCACTCTTTCCCATCATCAATGCTCTGCCCAAAAGAAAAAACTTAAACAAATCTTATTTTCCTTCGAGACCCCAGAGCTGGTTTTGTAAGCTGAAAAATTGCACTGATTTATCAAATTCATAACATTTTTACCTTTCAATAAAATCCCAAATATTTATCATTTCAAAATTACTAGGATTTTTCAGCACAAGCTCCTTTGACAGGTGCAGCGCCGTTGAACCCACATTTACATTTTATAAAATCCAGAACATTTCTCGATTCAAAAAAGCTGGGATTTTTCAGCACAAGCTCCCTTGACAGGTGCAGCGCCGTTAAACCCACATTTACATTTTATCACATTCATAACATTTTTACCATTCAATAAAATTCCAAAAATTTCTCGATTAAAATTAACTAGGATTTTTCAGCACAAGCTCCCTTGACAGGTGCAGCGCCGTTAAACCCACATTTACATTTTATCAAATTCATAACATTTTTACCATTCAATAAAATTCCAAAAATTTCTCGATTAAAATTAACTAGGATTTTTCAGCACAAGCTCCCTTGACAGGTGCAGCGCCGTTAAACCCAAATTTACATTTTATCAAATTCATAACATTTTTACCATTCAATAAAATTCCAAAAATTTCTCGATTAAAATTAACTAGGATTTTTCAGCAGAAGCTCCCTTGACAGGTGCAGCGCCGTTAAACCCACATTTACATTTTATCAAATTCATAACATTTTTACCATTCAATAAAATTCCAAAAATTTCTCGATTAAAATTAACTAGGATTTTTCAGCACAAGCTCCCTTGACAGGTGCAGCGCCGTGTAACCCACATTTACATTTTATAAAATCCAGAACATTTCTCGATTCAAAAAAGCTAGGATTTTTCAGCACAAGCTCCCTTGACAGATGCAGCGCCGTTAAACCCACATTTACATTTTATCAAATTCATTACATTTTTACCTTTCAATAAAATCCCAAAAATATCTCGATTAAAATTAACTAGGAATTTTCAGCACAAGCTCCCTTGACAGGTGCAGCGCCGTTGGACCAACATTTACATTTCATAAAATCCAAAAACTTAAACAAATCTTATTAGAGACCCCAGAGCTGGTTTTGTAAGCTGCAAAATTGCACTGATTTATCTTCAGAAGATGAATTATCAACCGTTATTCGTTAATATTTGAAACAATCCTGCAAAAAATTTGTTAGATCTGATATCCTTTCATAGTTTTTCAATTTTGGATCATAATTTATATTTCAAATGTATTTAATAGGCATGCATATAAAAGGACGCTGACATCAAACCTCACCGCAAGGTAAGGTTTGAGTCAATTTGGATAGTAAATTATTTTTCAGAAGTAAATAATAGGCAAGCGTATAAAAGGACGCTGACATCAAAACTCGCCGCAAGGAAAGCTTTGAGTCGATTTGGGCACTAAATTATTTTTCAGAAGTAAATAATAGACATGTATATAAGAGAACGCTGACATCACACCTCGCCGCAAGGTAAGGTTTGAGTCAATTTGGATAGTAAATTATTTTTCAGAAGTAAATAATAGGCAAGCGTATAAAAGGACGCTGACATCAAAACTCGCCGCAAGAAAAGCTTTGAGTCGATTTGGGCACTAAATTATTTTTCATAAGTAAATAATAGACATGTATATAAGAGAACGCTGACATCACACCTCGCCGCAAGGTAAGGTTTGAGTCAATTTGGATAGTAAATTATTTTTCAGAAGTAAATAATAGGCAAGCGTATAAAAGGACGCTGACATCAAAACTCGCCGCAAGGAAAGCTTTGAGTCGATTTGGGCACTAAATTATTTTTCAGAAGTAAATGATAGACATGTATATAAGAGAACGCTGACATCACACCTCGCCGCAAGGTAAGGTTTGAGTCAATTTGGATAGTAAATTATTTTTCAGAAGTAAATAATAGGCAAGCGTATAAAAAGACGCTGACATCAAAACTCGCCGCAAGGAAAGCTTTGAGTCGATTTGGGCACTAAATTATTTTTCAGAAGTAAATGATAGACATGTATATAAGAGAACGCTGACATCACACCTCGCCGCAAGGTAAGGTTTGAGTCAATTTGGATAGTAAATTATTTTTCAGAAGTAAATAATAGGCAAGCGTATAAAAGGACGCTGACATCAAAACTAGCCGCAAGGAAAGCTTTGAGTCGATTTGGGCACTAAATTATTTTTCAGAAGTAAATGATAGACATGTATATAAGAGAACGCTGACATCACACCTCGCCGCAAGGTAAGGTTTGAGTCAATTTGGATAGTAAATTATTTTTCAGAAGTAAATAATAGGCAAGCGTATAAAAGGACGCTGACATCAAAACTAGCCGCAAGGAAAGCTTTGAGTCGATTTGGGCACTAAATTATTTTTCAGAAGTAAATGATAGACATGTATATAAGAGAGGACGCAGACATCAAACCTCGCCGCAAGGTAAGGTTTGAGTCAATTGCAAAAAAAAATTATGAATCAAAACTCTAAGTATTATATGTGAACCTGGGACGCTGACATCAAAACTCGCCACAAGGTAAGTTTTGAGTCAAAAAGTCAAGTGAAAAAATTAATAATCAATAACTTCTTAGTATAAAAATAAAGTAACAAAAATAGCTCAGCCTGTGTGTTTCTTCTTGTGTGTGTGTCGTCACCGTCACTGCTACACTCAAACTTCTGTTCCTTTTCTTCCTTCTTTGCGGTGCTCCCTGCTTGAACCTGATCTGCTGATCTGGGCGATCATGTCCAGGGTTTCGATCACACCTATTCAAGGTGATCTGCAAAATGCGAAGGATCAGGATTAAAATAAAACAGTTTGCCTGCAGAAGAATTTTTCCTAATTTCATTTATATAATATATATGTTCAAATCTAGCTTATACCTTCTTTTAGCTCAGTGGTGAACAGTTGGATTAATTCTCGCAAATCAGTGAAATCAAAAATTTAGTGCGTAAATACGATAATATTTTATCATTTTTTTTAAATCGCCTGAGATAAGTCATGGCTGTCGCAAAATGCGCTGAACTCCGACTGAATAAGATGAAATTTTAAAAGGTTTGGATTTCACGAAAGCCGGAAAATCAGACAGCAACAAAAGAGATTTTGATCTTGATGAGAGAGAGAAGCGAGCTAGCAACTTAAGGAGAGTAAAATGGTTTTACTCTCCTTATAGCAACTAGCGTGATGGGAGAGTCAGAGAGACATGTAGTGCAGATCGGATCGGCTTGAACATGTTCTGACACGTTCAGCAAGCGACAGCGTCGGCGCGCCGCGCTGGAATGCAGGCAAGGCTGGATGCCGCCATGAGAAGTGAAAAGCATTGCATTCCTTGCAAGACACAAAGCAAGCGACAAAGTTGCCCACGGCACGGCACATCGGCGTAACGGAGAGCGAATGTTAAAATGGATTTAGGCGAATATTTGGTCTCTTACCTAGCTCCGCGTCAATCGGCGTGTGCAGGTTGGTCGAGTGTCTAATGGCCGCCTTCGACATGAGAGTAAAGAATGACAACCGAAACCGAATGACGCGCCTAGGCGATTAGGCGGGTTTGTCAACACTGGTCAACATCGAAATTTTTACCGGCAATAATTAACTTAAGTTAAACGACTGTAAAACTGTCCACGAGACAGACTGCCGAGCCTTTCTTACCCCTGATCAAATCTTAACTCAATTGACATTGACGACGGATCGCATCGCATTTCGCAAGACCAACTCGATGGCTGTTGTGACTTGGGAGAGGGAGAGAGAATAAAGATGGATGATTTGGCCAAGGTTCCGCGCTGAAGCAGTGGTACCAACTGCTGTCTATAATAAAATCATACCGCAAGCTTTAATTTAATTTTATAATTGTGAGTAGATTTTTAATTTATGGATAAATTCAAACTGAAATAGCAAAGATGGCAGAATGAACGATGTATAAAATATATATTTCAAAATTAGAGGCTTGACAAGAAAAATTAATATTACTCAAAGGCTAAAATAATAAAATTCATTTTTCTATAACGTAACACTTTGAACTCATTTTTCTAGTTTCATTAACTTTTTCTCTAAATTATGAATACAATTTTTTTTCTTCAAAACGAAATATCCCTTATTGTTATAATTTTTTTTTTTAATCGACAAAGCACGACAAAGAGGGGAATCTCTTGAACTTGAACTTATCAATTTTTATTTTATAATATAAAACAAATATTGCTTTGTCTGGATAAATCATTAAAATTTTACTCATTGATGATACGATTTTCTACTAAAAAAAGTAAAGTTAATATCAGATTGTAACAAATAATTGTCAGAACATGTTTGTTCTAAAAATCATCAAAATTATTATATTTATTACAATATTTAAAAATATTTATATACACAAGTTAATTTTTCTTGTCAATTCTCCAATTTTAAATTATATTTTTGCATCGTTTATTCTCCCATCTTTGCCATTTAAGTGTAATAAAACCATAAATTAAAAATCTACTCTCAATTAAAAATGAATTGAAAGCTTCCGCGCTCCAACACAATTAACGTTCCCACCACTGTGGAGTGTGTGTGTGTGTCTTTGTTTAATTAATGCCATTATTTAGTAATTTAGTTTGTTTCAAATTCAAATAGAGTTTATCGTGTGACGCGCGTTTACTGATTAAGACGTTCGCGAGCGCTGGACGACGATCGCTATAAATTTCATTGCATTTAAATTTGATAGGAGATGGTTATTGAAATTGCAAGAAGTCAAATGTGCAGTATTTTGGTTGAAGCGGTTGGAAGTATTTCTATACTTTACAGGCCTGTTTGGGCAGAATTAAGGGGTTATTAAATTAGTTACTAATAACAATTTTCAAGAATAGTTAATTTTCTGATGGATGTTATTTTCTTCAATAAAAGATCATAGTAGAAAAAAATACATACATAATATATTCCAAGAGTGGTGTCATCATCACTGTCATCCCTTAAATTATTAACATAATTTTCACCGAAACTGGCGATAGTGCCGATAGTGGATGATTTATTATCTTTATTTTTAAGAGGATAGGTCATTAAGAAGTTTAGTGAAGAATCAAGCGTATGAAGCATAATTATACAATTTTTTTTAATAAAACCGGGTGCTGGTGGATGCTTATATAAATAAAAATTTCTTTCGCACTGCTTTTGGAGGAAAGACGCTATCCATCATAATTCAGTCAGAGTATATTCATGAAAATGTCAAAATTGAAATTCCACATTTCACATAGTCAAGATATATGGCTAATTTTCCTGGAAGGGGGGGGGGGGGCAATTTTGGCTGCGTGTCAGCGCACAAGAAAAATAATAAAAGGGCGCCAACGTTCCGCAGCATCCTCGAGGAAAAAAGAGGCGACGTTTTCATTTAGACGGAAAAAACTTATATTTATAATTAAGCCAAATTTAGAGCGGGACTTGGTCTATTATTTTTTGTGACAGCTCATTTATGTCGGAGGTCAGGGCCACGATAATGCTGTATCAGTCATGTTAATGGTGGCCGCAATTAATGTGTAATAAAGAAAATTAGCGCATAATGGCAGCAGAGCGCCAACAATGAGCTCTTCCTAATGACGGCAATCCAAAAATGACCCGGCAAGAAAAATACCCAGACACGAGAACAAAACGCGACCTTTAGTTTTCCTCTGCATTAATTTCGTTTAAAACGAGAGCATTTTTTTTATTTTGCTAACCCAGGGAAAGAGTACCATAGGAGAGATATTACTATCATGACCTCGACTTTTACGGCCTGTGACACACACGACGAGTTTATTGTGTGCTCGGCGTGCAAAGTGGTGCCGAATAACGAGGTGAAAATTGGTGCAAATTCAGTTTCAGTCTTAACGTAAGTAAACATTAAAAAAAAGATTGGGAACTTATAAAAGCTTTTTAATTTTTAATATTAAGGTGCAGGTTGAGTGTAAGAAATTGTATTTTGGGAATTTTTACCCAAACAAACTGAAGAAAAAATAATATAAATAATCCGCAGAGGAATCAAATGCATTTTGTGGCTGAAGAGACAATTAACTTTAATTTAAATTTATCTGGTCAAATTAATTGTTGGTGGAAAAAAAATCCTTCTAAGAATATAAACGTAAGTTTCGAGTAATTTTTCAGCTTTTGGCGAGCGTTTCTTCATTCTGTTTGGATTTTCTTGTGGGGATTTGTTGTGTTTTGTCTGCTGATTGAATTCTGTGCGCGGCCAGCCGGCGCCACAGGGACAAGAAAATCGCTGTTGGTGAAAGAAAAAAAAAGCCACCCACTCTGCCGCCGCACTTGAAAAAAAAATCCATAAACCGGCGCGCAAACTAAGGAGAAGTGGCGGCAAATAAAAAAAGGCGACTCCCTTCAGAAAAATAATTTTGTTTCCTCACCCCCCAGCCGACAAAGGAGCGCTAAAAGAAGAAACACAATTTTCTCTATTTCAACCTGAACGGTTCCAAATTGAATAAACATTGCTCAAACTGGCTCAAACTTTTAAAACTTGACTTGAATTCTTAATTTAAATTTAATTATTCAATCAAATAAGATTTTTTTATTACACAATTAACATCTTAAAAAAGTCTATCAAGTTCCAAATTTAAATTCAAACCTACCCTTTTTAGATAAATTCTCCTACAAGATTTAATTCAAGCAAAGTTTTCAATTAATATGGGTCTTTGATCATTTTAAACTTGAAATTGTTAAAGAAAGAGTTCAGTAATCACTTTGAAGGATAATTATCAAGAAAAATTTATATGGAAATGAAGAGATATGGCTTCTCCTCGTTAATAAAATTGTTTTTTATTCAAAAACAAATGGCTCTATCAGTATTGGTCGCGGTCCGCAACCCTATTATTTCATGAGCAAACGCTGCGCGCGGCGTGGCCGACCACGGGGGCGCCGAAAGATGTAGGGCACATTATGCGCTTTCGAGAAAAAGCTTTTCCTCTCTCAAAAAAGACATCCATAGGTTGGCAGTTGGGTTGGTACTTGATTTTGACAGTTTTTAGATTTTAATTTTGGTGGTGTTTTTCGATAAGCTAATTTTTTTTGCATTTTTCCTGCTCATGAAATAGGGTTGCAGACTGTGACCAAAACGGGTAGAGAATTTTTGCAACGAGGAAAAAGCCCGATCTCTTCATTTCCATGATTATTACCTCCAGTGCCAATTTTTTCAAACAAGAAAAGTAATTTTCTCATCCAAGGAAAGAAAAAATTTTCTTGTATGAAATAGTCGCTTTTGAAATTTTTGATCTCTTTTTGGGCAAAAATTAACGAATTTGTAATAATTGACTTTGCGTCCTTGTATATCGCAAGAGCACAAGGGAAGAATTGGAAGAAACGAATTGAAAATTTGAGTTGTTTTGTTTGTTGGCGACTTGGCTGCAGGCATTTCCAATTTACAAAAGAATTTCCTGCGGAGTCCCGCAATAGGGCCGAAAAGAACAAGGCCGAAAACGGCTGAGCGGAACAAGGCCGAAAAGGAATAGGGCCGAAAAGGAACAAGGCCGAAAGCTGAAAAATAACCGATAATCGTGAGCGCGTTCAGCTCAGCAAACATTTAAACTGAAGATCCTTTGCGCGCCGATACCAAAATCCTTCATGCGGCCGTTTCGCATTGGAAAATTGACGAAAATTTAAAATTTTTTGTAGAATACTTCAGCAAAATATTCTTCATTTTAGACGAGACACATATCAGAAAATCACAGAAAATTTTATCTTTTTATTTTATTTAAAATTTAACTAAAAATACCCACATCGCAATTTTGACACATTACGTAAATTTTCACGAGGAATTGAATGACGATGTCAAATTTGACTTTTAGCTTGAGGCACATCTTCAAATTTGAGTTTGAATTTGAAATAAATGAACTACGATTTTAAAATTAATTAATTTTTGTAGATATTGATGAGAAAAATCCAACCATATCCAGATTGTCCCTGTGCGATCACGGAGCCGAGATAATTAAGTTTTTTTATTTTTTCAAAATGTCCCGTAAAACCCGCAATTTTGAAAATTTTTTGATAAAAATTTATGGAGTTTGCTTTCAAGTCATGAGGATTAAGCCACGAAAATTTCAGGAAGCCAGCATCAAATTTGGGGGTACCCAATGTGGTCGGCAAAAGAATTGCTCAAATCTAAAATATTCCTTCCAGCCACACATGAATTATTGGAGATATATCTCACAGGTTGACTTATAAGTACGATGATAAAGAAAATTGTGTGTCCTGGTGTTTTCTGAAACGTCCCGTTTCTTGTAGGGATGACGAGTTGACATAGCACGGTAATAGATGCTTTCCTAAAGAAACCGGTTCTTCCTTTTAAGTTTGCACCGGTATTTCGGCCTTGTTCCTTTTCGGCCCTATTCCTTTTCGGCCTTGTTCCGCTCAGCCGTTTTCGGCCTTGTTCTTTTCGGCCCTATTCCGGCACTCCTTTCCTGCCGATGCTGACTCGCTGGCAGAGGAGAAAACAAACAATTTGTTAGAAGGAGATTCGAATGCGCGCGATGAGTAGTTCCAACTTCCCCTTTATAAGTTGCAATCAAAGTCAGTGTGACCCTCCGACTATTAAATATCCATTGGCAAATGAGCCTTGCTATCGCAGAAAAAATATTTGAAAAAACAAAGAAGAATTTGAAAAAATACTAAAAAAATGTGCATCAAAAAGCAAGATTTTGACGCAAGTTATGCCGATCATTGAATTTTGAGCTTGTTTAAGTTATTCATTTATGCTTGCGGGGAAACGATTTCACAAAATTGTATACAAAACCATTGGAGACCCATATCAAAAGCGGGGGATCGCAATTCGCAATTAAATTGGGGATGCAAAACGATAATTGGTAAAAGTCGCGATTTATTTTTGTTATCGAAGCTGGGGTGGCCAAAGATTGAAAATCGGGAAGTGTCGAAAGTGAACTTACATTAGAAAGATGCGAGTTTCAGAAAAGCTGGAATACCAGGCAGCAGCAAAAGATGCAGCGGAAAACAAACGATTTTTATGAGAGTAGCAAACTCAAGCAAAACGCGAGTCGCGAGTGCAGCAGGAGCGAGAGTGAACTCTGAACTCAAGTGGCCAAGTGAGGGAGTGAGTGAAGCAAGCAGCGGGCGAGCAGCAGAGAGGGAGGTGCGCCCCCTACCGGCCTTTCCTTCCAAATAAATACATAAATTCTGCGTTGAAATTTTTAATTGAAACAGGAAAATTTTTCCCCTTAATCAATGAAGAAAAAACGAGGATATTATTTCAACTGTAATTATATAGTTTTAAATTCCTGATAATTTTAAAAGATTTAAAAATATATTTGATACAAATATAATTTAAATTGATAGTGTGTTAAAATATTTTATAATTAAAAACAATTTTTGCCTAAAAGTTAATTTATTTTATAAGTCTAAATCTCGTGCATGAACAAGATTAAGAATTGGAATACTCAGTTATTTAGAAATGCTCATTTTGTATAACTAAATATTAATCTACAATTAAATTAATTTAAAAAAATCAGAGTAGAATTTTTTTTATCGACACAGGAAAACATTAGGATGATTAGATTTTTTTGCTTTAAAATCACTATACTGTAGTAATCTCAAACGCTGCTAATTAAGCACTGCGCAAATCAGTCCGAGACCAACAATACTCGAGACGACCATCTGATCAAATCTCCCTTTGCGATCAAGCTTGAGACCGCTTGCGACATCTCTTTCAAGAGTTCCAAAATAGTCTCTTCCCGTTGTCTGCTTTTCGCTGCCTGTTGGCTACCTGCCTGCTCCAGGTGTGACGTCACGCGGAGGGTAGCGAAAGCAAGCGAAAGGAAAGGTTTTACGAAAACGAAACGAAATCGAGAGCGTTGTTATCTATTTCTTCAACAATGTGCATCTGTTGCCGTGATTGAGTTATTTTCGGCTACATTCCGCTTGCCAACAGTGCCGACAAGTGTTTCAGGTGAGCTTGAACAAAATTCGCACATTGAATTCGTTGACCCCTTCTGACAAACAATCAATTTAGCGTCGCGATTTGCAAGAATTCTTATCTCCTCGAAGTAAACAAAATTTAAAAACGATTTGAATTTTAAATTCTTTAATTTTTTCAGGAGTTTCTTGACTTATGCCGGCCTAATTAACATAACTTCAATCATTTTATCAAACATTGATCATTTGCTTAATCCTGACTATTGATGATTTTCAGTCTAAGCGCAGAACCTGGTGTTGAGTCCAATGTAGTTGCAGACCCTGGTGCAGAGTCCCAGCAGGCAGGAGTTGATATTGCAGGAGCGTCCAGCCAGGTCAGTGCCATTTTTTAGATTGCGTAGAGCGTTCATTATCAATAAATTTTACCCTGAAATCAGGCGACCTAAATTATTTTTCCAAAATCAATAAGTTTATATTTAGAACTTCTTGTAGATATTTGTTAAAGTACGTAAAATTATAGAACGTATTTTTCGCTCGATCCTGTTTATCAAAAACATTTTAGTTTGGGATTAGGAATGTTTAGATATATTTTAACGTGCTCTGCAAAATAATGTTCCAACAATTATTTCAAAAGCTATACATGAAACTATATTGTGATGGCTATGGGTGGGCAAAATTGTTGGTTTTTAGTCAACTTTCCCACCAAATAGTTTTTCAGTTCAATTTTCTTTTATTTTTGGGGGGGGGGGAGGCGTAAAAATCACTGTATCCACAAAGTAGCTAGAAATGATCATAATGACCTGTCCGACATTTTTAGACGGTCAGTAGAAATACCATGAATTTTTTGTTGTCAAATCGTTAAAAAATTGACACAAAAATTTCAATTATTTAAAAAAAAACATATTAGTTCAAACAATTTGACCTTTCGCTTAGACGCAGTGTCAATTTAGTCGGTTTCAAAATTGAATTTCAATTAACAACGTATTGTACTTTCCTTCCACACGTTGAAACGCGCTTAAAACAAAAAAAAAAGTCGCATTTAAAAAAAAAAGTTTAATGTTCGTCGTTTCCCATCCCCAGTGAATGTCTTGAAAACCTTGTATTTCAGTAAAACATTGGTGGACCATTATTCAAAATGGGCTGCGCTAGCGCTCTCCGAATAATACGCTCGCGCTCAATCGAAAAATTTGCGCTCGCACTCAGCGCTCTTAATTAAAACTTTCCGAATTCAAAATATATAAAAAAAATGTTGAATTAAAAGTTAATGAAATAAAAAATTTGATGTAACATAATTATTTTATATAAGTTTGCTTTTCTCTAGAAGATCATGAAATTCTATCATTTAAGAAATGGATTAAATTGCATAATATAATTGGTGATAATCATCAGACAATGAGGATAACATTTAGTATTGAAGGAAGGCAACTAGACCACGTAAAGTCTTAATTTTAATTAAGACTTTAATTAAAACTTTATCTTAAGTTAATTTTAATTAACGTAAGATTAATCTCTTTTTCTCACTTTTTGAAGAGAGTGTCTTCGACTGAGCAGGAACTAAATATAAAAATTAAGAAAGCTAAAAAGCAATAATTACAAATTAATTTGAAATTATCAATTAACCTAGCAAAAAGAAGAATGTTCCTTGAAATGAGCTTTGAATTTCTTAAATTAATTTAAATAATTATTCTTTCTGCGGCGAGAAAACAGCGGCTAGAAAACAAAGAGCGCATATAAGAGCGCTCGCGCTTTTTATAAAATTGCGCTCGCGCTCACTGCCTTGCGAGTCATGAAAAAGCTGCACTCGCGCTCAGAGCGCGTATCGCAGAGCGCATTATACGCTCTTGCCCACTGTGCCATTATTAAATAATGTTTTTATGCAAGAAGCTCGTTAAATAATTATTAAAATTAACATTTTGAACTACTAATTTTGCTTTCAATTAGTTTTATGATGCAACTAAAAGGGGCCAGGCCAAAACTGTAAATATGAAGCATATATACCAGAAATTTATGTCGCTCTTAACGTTTTGTGCCTGGATGAAATATTCATTGCAATATTAGATGAGTGCCTGTTTTGAAAGCGATTTATGATGATCATTTTCCAAACAACAAATATATGTATATAAAAAAACCTCATATTAAATGCAACAAAAACTATATAGCTTCAAATTTGATGCGATGGAGCGTCTGCTTTTTAGAGTGTAGAGGTTTTTGCTTCCTCCTGTTTTGCACGGAAATCTTTTACATTTTCTGATTTTTTCTTTTAGCAGATTTCAAAACAATGTAAGAGACGTATTAGGACCGAATTGAGAGACCAGGGTATTCTTCCAACGGTTCCTCAAGGAGTAAAAATGGAACATGGACGACATGGACGTAACAAAGTGAATCGAATGGGTAAATTGCAGCTGGTGAATTACGTTTTGCGCAACAGACATGATCCAGCTGTTCTCAAGTTCCTGAGAAGTAGCCAGAAAAAAATTGTAAAACATTTTCGAGGCGAGCTAGAGACCTTCTAAAGCTCGAGTATGTTGTGATCCCTGCACTCCTTAATTTATTTTATAAGTTATTTTATGTATATGCAACCGTCCAGTTGTTCTGTTAGAAAAACCAAAAATTATGATTATTTATAACATGACCCACGAAGGCATATATTGTCTTTATAATTTGTCATTAATTTTTCCTTCTTTTCATATTCGTCCAGAAACCACGTGACACTCTCTCCTTTCTTGTCACCAAAATTATGACGTCAGCGGGATTTTTTTTAAAACTCGAGCGCACCCCCCTGACTTGTCCTCTGATTTTGGCAAGTGTCTCGTGCATGCTCTGTGTCGTAGAAAAAGTTGCGAGTGATAAGTTAAGTGCAGGAACATTCGGCGCCACCTCACCTAGCGAGCTTGGAGTGCGGGTTTCTAGGGTTGGTGCCGGCACCCTGCCGGGCTCTGCCCATTTAAAATTTGAACACACCAGCGTGCGCCGCTCTGGCCGAATAAATTTTGCTCGCGGTTCTCGGACTTCGGTGCTGAGATGAGCGACACCGAAGAGTGTGCTTATAATTATAAGGATCAAAATCACGTGTGCCAAATTTTTTGGAATTTCGAGATGCATCTCAAGGTGTTTTTATTGTAAGCTGAATTTAAATTACCACTGTTTGATCGCATGTCTGACACTGATTTTTCGTACAATTAAAACAATAATTGTGGACCAAAAGTCCCTTTTTCATTTGAAAAACTCGCTCCTTTGACTGAATAATTTTAAGAATTGAGAGAAATAAATATTATAGTGGCGACCGTTCGGCTTGTGGAAATGTCTCGTCGGCGGACTTCAAGGCTTGTTCAGGGAACATCATTTAAATAATTTTCCATATAATTTTATTTATTATTTAGGCTGAGCGGAAAATAGATAGGCGGATTTGCCGTTTAGGGATGAGAAAATAAATGGGCCTCTGACACCAAAATTTATCAAAATAACAAAATTAAAAGTTGATAAATAAATTTTGCTTCTTAAACTAAATATAAATTTCTGAATTTTGAGCGCCGAGATGTCTTTTCCTTGGCCGGAATTAATGCAATATGCACAAGAATATTATAATCAATAAATATCAGATTGGTGTCAAGTCAGTTTAATTAATTTGGCAACGACAATGTCTGTGGCTGCAGGAGAGTTTGTTTGAAACCAAAGGGCTAGGCGCTCCGCGGGTCCTGTTCGGCCAGAGCTGCCTCTGCGTCGTGAAAGACGCACCCCTCGTCCCATCGTGGTGCCAGCCCGCCGGCTAAAGCTCCCAGCGCCACCAAAATAAGCAGCGAAACCGCTCTTTTCGCCTCTTGAGGTAAGTCCGATACCGCGATAATTTCAGGATGGATGCAAATTTCTGCACTTTTATTCGAACTGAAGAGCTTAAAGGGTAGATCTGGCGGCCATTGTCGGGAGGTTTCATATGGGAGCGGCTTTGAGGTGACATTTTGCAGGTTGCCATATTGATCTCTTCTTGCGTACTACAATAATAATATAAAATGTTTTTAATAATATCATATAATCTACAGATATCAAAATTAGACAAGTGCGAATTTATTAAAATGACAAATGTTGTGTGTATCAGTGTGTATTTGATTAAATCCTTAAATCTGCAGTTGACTGATCAAGTATTCATCATGCAGTGCATTATGTGTGCCGTCTTTGAAGGCCTTCTTCTTACACAGTTTGCCGCAGTACCACAACTTTGGCACACTGGTGTTGTCAATGTCATCCCTGCACATTCGGCAAAGTTTTAGCTTGGCGCCCATGTAGCCCTCCCAGAGACCGCACACAGCGCAGACCTTCTTTCTTTTCGGCGCATTTTCCTCTTCCTCTGCCGAGGGGAACAGGAGGCACCTGATGGTGTGCAGGAAGGCATCAACGTCGCCATCCATAAACTGCTGGACTGTCTCTCGGACCAAACTGCCACACTCGATGGGCACCGAATAAGGAGGAATGTGACCTTTGGACACCTCCATGTCTCTCTTGCGGAGCTGAGCAAAGATCTCGCTGAGTTTGAGTAAGTGAAGCTCGGGATTCACTTTAGCATTGTCAGTCATAGTGTTGCAGTACCTCCCTGAGTGATACTTGTCCATGCAGAACCTAGAGGGTGAAAAAGTAAGGTTTAATTTCAATATTATAAAAACAAAATTCTTTATTAACTGAAAAATTAAAATTATTATTTAATACTCCAGCCTTAATTTAAATTAAAGATTAAATCTTACCTAGCAGGGTTATCAATTCCTAGTAAGTGACTGTTCCAGAGGTGAAAGAATTTCATTATGGCCAAGTAGAAGAAGCAAACGGGAATGTCAGCGTCCTTCCAGAGATGAAAAAGGCTGATCTCGGTAAAGATTTTCATTTCACTCAAGATGGCCAGAGTCTGATGCAAGTTTGACAGCCGAGTATTGCTTGGGATAACAGCACCATAAGGTGGAAGGCCAAAGCTCCTTCTTGCCAGCATTAGTAGCACGAAAATTCGATCCTGAGAAAATTGATATTTTGTAAAAATGTTAAATTAAAACATAAAAATTATAATTTACCCGAAACTTTTCCAACGAGTTAGCAAAGCCATTGAGAATTGATTCCATTTGCTGCCTGTGGTTTTCACTTAGTTCGGAATTGATTTTCCAGAACAATCTCTTGAATGTTTTAAAGTTCCCCACAGAATCACTAGTTTTGAGCCATTTGTAATCATCACCCTTTACTAGACCAGGGGCATGGTAAATGTTCTCGCAATTCTCTCCAAAGCCAATCCACTCCATCAAACGAGTAAACTCTTCATATCTCATGGCCATGATGCTGTAAGCGGAGCTAAGGCGGCCGTAGTTGACCCCAGTGCAATCGCAGATTTTGAATGTCGAATATTTTGATTCAAGTTGAAGGAGGTTAGGGGTTGGGGGTGGAGTAGGAGTGCCATTGGAGACAATGTGGCTCTCCACTTGTTCTTGGTAGTAACCGACCAACTCGTCCAGGAAGCGGAAGATGCGAGAGCTGCTGACTTTTGAGCCAAACGCCCGCTTCACTGTGAGGAAGCGAGCAATCAGTGTGGGCAAGAGATATTGGATGAAATCCCAGTCTTGGTAAACTTCTAAAAACTTGTTGTCCAGGCAAGCCAGACTGTCCTTCATGATCTTGTAAACCAGAGTGCGAATTTTGATCTGCAAAAGAAAATAGATACATTTTATTTTAGTTTTACATAGATCAGAAAATGCCATTTTGTTCAATTTTATATATGCTTTTAAATCAAAAGTTAAGACACAATTAAAAAGTATGACTATACAAAACCAATACAATTAATAAACAATATCAACCTGGAAATAATTCGCAACTTCGTTTAAGTAGTCTTCATGTTCATCCTTCACTTCAAATTTAGGCAGGTTTGGCAGAATTCCTGTTGCGAAGACATCTGAGAAGCCAGACTTCAGAATATCCTCTTTGGTAACTTTCTGGGACTTTACAGTCCCAATCGAAGATTTGATTTCTTCAGCGTCAAACGGGGGAATTTTCCCGTCCTTCATCACCGCAACCAGATTTTTCTTCAGGATTTCGGCCAGACTTTTGCAGGCCAATGCAATTCTCCTCTTTGTTTGAAGCAGGGAGTGTTTCTGAGTCACGTACTCAGTCACACCCATGACAATGTCCTTCTTTTGCTTTTTCTTCAAAATTTCCAGCGTCCTAGCGCACTTTTTAATGCAGCTAAACGGAGCAAGCTTTTCCTTTGGCAAGTCTTTTAGCACCAAGTACAGGTCAGCTGCAGTTTTGATCTTGGAATCCACCTTTACCATTCCGGACGAGACGCACAGTTCAAAAATCGACTTGATTGACTCCTTAAGACTGAAGTTCTCAGGGCACTCTTCTTTGTCAGGCCGATGATCCTCTTCACTTAGACTGAATGGTTTCAAGCAAGCACTTGTCTGCTCATCAGATTCCCACTCGCAAATTCTTTCCAGAAGGTCCTCAAAATTGTCTTCCAGTGGAGGAAAAAAACAATTTTGCTTCTGAAAGTTTTCCCAGTAGTCATTGGAAAAGATGCAATGAGAGAAAACTGCATCCAGTGCTGGATCTAGCAGCGATCCAGAAAAAGTGACCAGTTCCTCTCTGTCCTTTGACCTTTTCTTAAACGGCCAACTCTGCTTCTTCACCTGCTCCAACATCAACATTCCTCTGTCCTTAAAAAAGCTAATCAAAGGAGCACAAGGAAGCAAAATCTCTTTCATGATCATTGCCGGAAACTTTTCGTCCTTGCCAGGATATCTGAAAATAATTATATTTATATAATAAAATAAATTAACCCTTTGAAAATTATGTAGAAAAAGTCGCAGTTAAAATTTACCTGTCCATCATGTCAGCAATCAAAGCAAATCCAAAGGCCACCCTCTGTTTCAATTTCCGGACCATGAGCAACAGTTGCAGGTAAACGTCAGCAACTTTGGCGTCCAAAGGCCAACCGGAGACGAATTCGACCATCTCCAACTCCAAGCTGAAGACCAAATTCTGTGCCAGGGCGAGCCATTGCAGAAATTTGGCAGAGTCAAAAGGCAGCTGAAGAAGAACGGCCGGCTCCATGAGGTAGTTGCTGCACTGTGCATCGTCAGGGTTGCGGTGCACATTTTCTCCCATCGATGCCATATTATTCAGAGTGGAAAACATGGCAAGCATATTGAAAAAGCTGTCACTGTCACACAGATCCTGTCAAAAATGGTTTATTTTAAATATAACATAAAAAAAGTACAATTTTGTCTCACCTCTTCGTACTGAAGGTTGTCCTGAATAGCCTTCAAGAAAGCAAGGCCATTCGTGTCACTGAACTTGATCACATCGTAGCCAAAATAGTCCGGTCGGACGTAGTTGACGAGGCTCCTCACATTCATGGTGGCATATTTCAGGTCAACGCAAGCATTGCTTGGTAGAATTGCATAGCTCAGGCTGAATAGCAGGTACGAATACTCTCCCTTGGCCGCGTTCTCGAGCCGACTCAGCTTCGCCGATGGCTTCCACAGTTCCAGGTACTGGCCTGCCTCCTCACCACCATCAGGTTCGAAGGTGATGTCCAGGTATGGATTATTCATGATTTCATCAGGTTGAAATTGGCTCCCCCTAAAAATTCTTTCAATAAAAAACTTTGATTTTAATAGAAATTAAAAAAATTTCAGTCCTACTAAATTGAATAACAAAAAAGAATCTCGAGATTAAAGATGAATTCATAAACGGCACATAATTATGAACATACGTATGTGAAAGTTAGTGTACATTTGAAGCATTATCCATTATCCTCTAATCAATACTGTGAATTTTTTACTTGATTTGCGTACCAAATTTTGTACCTGACCGCCTGCTAGCTGACCTTTCTCGATTATTGAATGAAAAACGGGGGAAAATGCCCAAAACACCTTGTCCTTAGTCCTTATCGCTGACTTAAAGCACAAAATAAGTGGAAAGCGGGAAAGAATGCATGAATTTACAAAACAATCCGAGTCCTGGCACGATTTTACGTGTTAATGATGCTTACTGCGCTCGATCTCCTGATCATCCAAGCTGCTGGCCTGCTGCCTTATGCAAGTTTGGTGGAGTTTTCTGCAATTTCCCCCACTTCTCACGTTCCTCCGTCTCAAAATCCGCTCTTTTTCTAGGGTTTGTATTCTGCCATCCTACTCTTTATTTTATTCTCTGGTAATAATTCACTAATTCAGGCGAAAAAAGAACTCAAATTTAATGTAATACATTTAACGTTACTTGCGCTTTTAATTAATAATAATAATAATTAAAAATGTGCCTGTTTATTGATAATATATTTATGTCATAATTGTCACAAATTGCTACCTCTGTTTTAAATTTTTTTAAACTTCATTCACGAAAAAATAATGTTTTTTTGCGCTTATTTTTCGATAAGAATTTTAGAGGGTTTAGAATACACAGAGTTAGACGCGAATCCCTGCAACGTTATCTTTAATGTACTTTTATTATGGTGTCATTTTGTCCAATAATTCCTTTTTCTCAAACACACTGTTATCTCAAATTGAATGAAAATAATTGTATGTAAAAATTTGACAAATAAACAACAGTAATAAATTTTTTTTTCCACTCAATTATAATTATATATAAAAATAAAAATTACATTTCCCTGCAACATGCACACAAACTTAAATTCTCCTTACTCAAAAACTGACGAAATATTATTTTCATCCTTTTTTATACTATTATGTGTGTAAATGTGTATGAAGTAACATCTGGGAAGAGAAATAAATATTGCTGCATTTATTTATTTACTGTAGTTTGACATTGTGTCTCACACTTATTGTTAGTTAAAATCATTAAAGTATTATTAATTTTTGTGTAAATTGGAAAAATTAATAACATAACTGCAGGAATAATAAAATTATATTTTTCTTCTATATTTTGATAAAATGAGATTCCTGATCGTGTTTTACCTTATACTATAAACTTAAATTATGCAAATAAATTAAATTAAAAAAGTGATAAAACGATAAAATATTGACGAAAAATTATTGTATTCATATGTTTAAAATAAATATTTGGGAGGATTTTTTAATAAAACAAAATAATGATGAGTTTGCTCTGATTTAATATTATTATTATGCCATCAAATTGAGGTTTTTGTGGTGCCAACGAAGGAAAATATCACCGATGCAATAACAATCCATACATTTTTGGCCATATGGAGCGGTCATTGTACGAATTTATTTATTACGCTTATTTTTTTTATAAATGGGAAAAATTATGGTGCATTATAAAGCGAATAAAATTTCTAGTAACAAATGAATCCCCACGCTCTGTTTACATCTATAGCGCACGGGCCTGCAATAGTGTACGCGCCATTGGTCAGGACGGGACAGGAGTCAAAATTGCATATTGTTGGTGTATATGTTGAATAGAGCTCCTTTGGTACCAAATTTCCGCTTCCGCACCAACTGTCTGTTCCATCTCCATTTGCAAATACCTCGGCAAAATTATAGACGCTACCTGGATCTGCAGCTGTAGAAATATAAAATTATTATATGATGATCCGACTTTAGCAAAGTTTTTTATTTTGGAAAACAATCGGAAAAATTAGGCTTGGTTTCAGCCTGAAACACTGGTATAAAGTACTTTGTGAAACAGAAAATTTTGAATTATATCCATGTAAATAGATTGAAATTGAAAAATAAAAAATATTTTAATCTGACAATAATAGAAGGGTAATAGAGGAAGTTTTGATCATTACATTTTAAGAGTGGCACCATGGCCTGGAGAGCAGCTAAGCTGGGAAATTCAGCCATCATCATTCCAATTGAACAGCATGCGTTGTAAGAGTTGATGAAGGAATTGACTGCTAATTCTCCAAAGAAGTAACTTTTACTCGTGCTGTCAATTTTGTAAGATCCAAAGGAAGCTGAACATTGAATTAATTTGGAGGTTGAAATTAATGTATAATTAATAATGCAACGAAGAAACCCCTTACTTGAATTTTTCACTAGCATTTCTGCGCGAGCTGTTGACTAATGATTGAAATTAAAAAGTTAATTATATTTGGTGTCAATATTTTGAAAATTAAAAACAACATTTAGGATGCATGGATGACCTCTTAATTGGCATCTTCTAGAGTAAGTACTAATGCACGGTACGGGTGGCGAATACTAAAAATGTAATATTTCAAAGTATAGCAATTTGGGAGGGGAACAGTTATTACTAGTGTATTGTTTCCTTTTGCACTTGCGAATACGCTGTTTGTTAAAGCTGGCGCTGTATCAAGACCACATTGATAAAGCGCAGCCGCAGCCTCGCACTCGTCATTGTAAGCTTTTAATTAAAAAAAAATTACAGCAGATATTGAATGTTATTAATTTTTTCCAACTTTTTCCGTTGCAACCGTTGTACGCTTGAAACCCAACCTCCAGTGCACTTTCGTCAGCCGCTGCAAGTTCTTCAATAAGTCTCAAAACTTTACTGAGCATATCGCCTTCAAGAAACTATATCATATAATTATTGTTAACTTTGGGAAGCAAACTCTTAAATCATGATTTTTTTATTTTATACCAAGTCCATGGATTCTCCCATACATTTTATGAAGCACTGTGGGAGTTAGATGTAATTGAGTATGAATTTAAATGGCAAACTCAAATGTTACTTTTAATGATGGTGATATATTTGTAGCATTGAATGCTTTTTCAATTGATATAATGTCACCTGAATCAGATAGAAGATTTTTTAATATTTAAAATTAATGATTATTAATAACGTATAAATACTGGCAGAAATGTTCCAAACTTCAGCGCACTCCTTTTGTACACCATGACTAATGTAATCCTTATTTCTAACCTAGGGATAAAAATTTCCAAATATAAATAATATTAATAATGCTCGACTATAAACTAAAAATTACAATCTAGAATGTTAAAAATATACCTCGCAAACAAAATTTTTCATTTCTGTGCAGGGAGCAGTTGAGTACATGGTCAAATTTGATGTCCCGTTTAAAAACTTGACCACCACGCAATCGCCATTTACCAAGTTTGGCTCTCCAGGGGCCCAATTCACTTCTGAAGGTATAAAATTTCTACCAGCCCTGCACCATCGGTATTTTCCATCACATTCGGAGTCCGTGCCAGAGGTCCAGTAGACTCCTCCGGTCGAAAAAATATTTTGGTAATCTTAAAAACAAAGATTTCGAAGCTAAGAAATTTGTTTCTTCCTCAAAATTTTCATACTTTGTGATTTTGTCACCAAGCAGGTATGTTTTGCCAAATATTCCACTGATAGCAGCGTCATTCCTATACTGCAACAAATACGATCAGCTTCTTTCCAGGTTGCCTGCGGAATAATTATTAAAATATATTGTATGCTCATTTTTGGCCTCAAATCTATAAAATTGACTTTATTTGCTGAGAAAAGAAAAGTCCTTCCGCAGTGGTTTATCCATGATCCATAACTAAAGTAATCTGCAATATAATTAAAATTTATAGAAAAAAGAAAATTTAAATTTGAAAATTCAAGTTTTTTTGTATAGAGCTATTAAAATATTTCTTTAAACATATTAATTGTATACCCTTCAAAGTATTGTTTGCGTCAAGTAGGGAATTCTGTAAACATGAAACAAACATAAATTAACAATTTATATTTTTGAGAGAAAAAATATTTTCTACATTTAAGGCACACGTCTGATTGGGACAGCTTGCTATTCCACAGAGGATAGGGTGCATTTGCTAGGAAATTCATTTTATTAGCGAGTGAGGTTTATAAAAATTTATATTTCAGTGTACCTCACACGCAATGACAAATAATTTTGAGCAATTCCTGTCTGATACCACTATGCCTGTATTGTTTTGCAATAATTTCATATGCATGCATTTCTCGTTCCCGTCAGCATTGTCTGGCTGATTGCTGGCCCAGGTCATATTTCCCATCATCGGAACAGAAATTGTACTTGAGCACCAAGCCCACTGTCCTTTGCATCCCGCACTTGTCCCTGCCGTCCAGTAGTTGAAATTGTAGCCCCAATTTTCTTTTGTAAACATAACATTTTTATTGCATTTGTTTGAATTGTTTATTTTCGAACTGCTGGTAAAGTTGCTAAGGCAATTTAATTCGTCCATTGTCTCTAGTGCGATAGTGGTCATGCCTAAACTGCAGCACTTTGCATGGCTCTCGCTCCAATTTCCCTTATATTCGGAAGATAAATAGGTGAACCATTTTATATTTTTATTAGAGATTATTTTTCTAAACATATTCACAGATTATTTAGAATCGGCCGTACCAAATATTTGGTGAATAAGTACACGCTGCCGCAAGTGCTGGCCCAATAACCATGTTGCTCCGGTTCTGTTCAAAAAATTTGTCATTTAAAATAATTCTTAATTACATAGCAGTTTTAATGTATTAACTCTTTAGGGTGCTATTTTCGAAAAGCGATGTCTGGAAATATAAATTAATTTAATTGACTGTACGTGTAATTTTGTTAATTCAACATTTGCTTGACAAGAATCTGGGCATGTTGGAGAACTGCACTTTGGCTGTGGAATACATTTTTTTAGACTCATTTAATAAAAGTGATTGGAAAAATATTTGAAACAGACCTCACACATGAATGGAAATGTGTCATTGCACGAGGAAATCGACAGTCCTGCTTTTTTGTTGAAGTATTCCAGTGTGACGCAGCGATTTGCTGAAATCTGAGGTATTGTTGATCCCTGCCAATATTCAGGAACCAAAACTTCTTGGACTTTTGTCAAATTTGACGAGCACCAGTTGTAATCAGAACAAAAATCTCCCGATGTCCAATATCGTTTTGCAGACGTACCTAATTAATAAGAATAAAATAACTTTCGGGCCGGAAAAATATGATCTGATCGATGGGATAAAAAAATGCAAAACGAACTGTCAATGGACCAGATGGTCTTTTCTATTGCTAAAAGTTCCAGAAGTGTTTCAACTGCCAATAGAACCATGTCTAGTCTCAAGCAACTTTGAAAGGCCGTCAATGTATCAAACTGAAAATAGTGGTAATTTTTTAGCAGAGTTTAAAATTTCATCATGCAGTACCGATTCTTTTGATTTAAAAAGCATCCTTGCGCCCACCATCATATAAGATCCACTAACTTTTACTAAAAAAAACACACATTTTAACATTTCTTGTAAATACATGACTTATTTTGGTATGAGCCACACCAGTTGAGTTTTTTGTAATATCCTAGAAAAAAAGTTTTTTTTTTTCATAATCATGAAGTATTAAGACAAGGTATATTTACAAATGTGGCACTGCGGTACGCTGGGCAAATTTGGCTTTGAACACAAGTAGGCTAAGAATAAAATTTTTAAAGGGTTAAATTTATATTGTACGAGATGAAATACTTGTGTTGTTGTTGTTGTTGTTGAAGAAGTAGAATTGGTTGATGTTTCTAACAAGATCGTTGACTCGAAGCTTGATGACTGGGAAATCAACGGCTTGGAAGTTGAAAATTTAAAAGCGGAAGATTCAGATATTGAAGTCTTTAAGGCTAAGGAATCGGAGGTTGATGACTTCAAAGCCAAGGAATTGGAAGTCAGAGATTGCGAGGTAGGGTAAATTTGTGTTTCATTCGCTAAAAAGGTTTAATTATATTATTGATGATGATAAAAAACAAAAATGTTGAAAATATACAATAATTAAATAATGATTATAAAAAGCATTAAAGGACCTGAATATATACTTTCAGAATATTCCAATTATAATTTTGAGCTCTATGAAAAACAGTCCTCACTTAAGCCTTCAAACCAAGAATAAGAAATAAGTCTACAAAAATTTAATCTTTTATAATTTTCTGAAGCACAAAGTTATTAAAAAAAATTGTAATTTTTCACAATTTAATTTTGCTCTCGTCTAATTTACAGGAACAAAGCACAGGCTGAGAGCATAAAAAACATAATATTTAACCTCCGTGATGTATTACAAATTTTATCAAATATTTAATAATTTTATTCTATTCTAATGCTTTTCATCTGTCATTGGCATTTGCAAGCTAATTTACCCGTTGACGTTTCAATCATTTCGTTTGTAGTGGTTTCAACTTCGGTCGGATATATTGACTCTTTAATGATTTCTCCTAAATGAAGTAACATTGATGCAAAAATTTGAATTAGTTTATTGTTGCTCAATAGATAGTGATAAAACTGGAATATAAGACAAAATTTTTAATGGTGATAAATTGAACCTGTCTGAAGTGTTTTTCCTGCAACCGTCTGCAAAGCCAGCAAAAAATATAAATTGAGCATAACTCAACAAAAACAATTTTTTTATTTTGCTAACGATCTCCAATGTTAAAGGGGGATTTTTTGTCAAAGCATCATGGAAAGTAGTCATGGCCGATTCAATTGTATTATTCACAGTGTTCCGTTTTGCTGTCGAAGAACATTTTTTCGTCCCACAGCATTTGATAATCTGGAATCGGCGTCGTTTCAAATGTATCCTCACTGAGTAAAAATTTACATATATATTTTTTCAGATTTAGATTATGTAACAAAGTAAAATGCAATTATTACAAATAGCAGGGTAGACAACGCAAACTGCCTGCTTATTGGAAGAGATATTAAACACAAATTCAAAGATTTCACACTGTATATTTCATATTTTGCTTACCGCGAGGAAAATAACCGAACATTCTTGAAGCCTCATCACAGCTTACTGCATCAAATGACTGTTGGCACCCAGAGCAATCGACACCTGTTCCAATTATATTATTATTATTTTTTTTAATATGTGGCAGTTACAACACCAAACACGTCATACCGTTTCCTAACTTCCAACTTGCATTGTAATTAAAATTTATTATCGCCACCGAGACAAATAATTCTCCATTTCCTCTTTCACAAAATAATGGAATTTCAAAACTACACGTCACTCCACTGACGTTTATCACAACCTGGCTCATTTGCCTCAGCAGAGCGGTCAAAACTTGCAAATTCAGCGAAAAAAAATCTGCCCAAAAATTTGAAGGTTAATAAAAAACGGCAAATTTATAATACATATACAAAATTTAATATTGATTGACACTGTTTTTAAATTAATTTCTGGAATTTTTTCCCATAAATGCCCGGAAAATTCTAGAAATGGTAGAAAAAAATTTCCGATTGCAGAGTGTGAGCGCAAACATTTTCAAAACCTTGAGCGCGAGCGCAAAATTCTTGAGCGCACCCAACTATGCAACCTGCTTTTTAACACTTTTATCGCATTTTTAAGTCAAGAGATTCAATAAGACAATACGTTAAGCAATATTATTTTTCATATTTAGTATCTCTCATATAAATGGTTGCGCGACCACGTGGTATAAACTCAACGACTGAATTTGCTCGCGGCTTGAGGCAACTCCGTGCTGGTTGCCATCATCCGATCTATGGAAAATTTTGCAGTGGCAAAGTGATGTACATTTTTATTAAATAGAGGTTTAGCACTCACATGCAGTTCGTTTCTGAGAGATCTATTAAACAAAAAATAATAATGTTTCCCAGAAATGAGGACGAGAGAGACTTGAAAGAGCCCCTGTAGATTTCAATGCCCGCAACTTGCGTCACATTCACGCAGAGCAGGTTGCCTATTTTCATGATTGAGTGAAAATTGTTGCAATAAGAAAATAGTAACAATCTATAATTTATTTAGTGCTTTCATGTTGCTATTGCGCGGTGAAATAAATTAGTAATGATTTTTATCCAACTATATTGAGATATATTGGCTTGGGTATTATTTTAAAATTTTGTCTCAAAATCACTAGATTTTTTGTTTAAAAATATTTTTATTGACTGAAATTTTCCTCTTATATTGCTTGATATTGCTGTATGAAATAAGTGGAAGCACTGAAATTATTTATTATATGCGTACATTTATTGATTTATTACATATATGAAACTAAATTTATTTAAAAAGAATATGATCTGCAATAATGTAAATCATGAAAATTTAATTATCTGTGAATTATCTTAATTGTGTTTAAGAGATTAAATGCACGGGGGTTTCCATTCTGCTTTCCACCGGTTTATCAACTTTTCGCTCTTCAAAGTCAAGGTCTTCTGCGGTGCTTGGAAATCTTTCGATTATTTTATTATGAACATGTTTTGTAGCCACTCCCAATCAAAGACGTACTCGCCGTCCTTCTGCCTAACAAACAATCGTTTGTAGATTTGCGAGTGCATTTTTTTTATGTAACAGCGTTTTTCACAGAGCTTATCACGACGGCCTTCACCTCGCACCTCGCGTCCACAGAATTTCCAATCGCGATCCAAAATAAATAATAAAATGCGGCGTGTGCGGCAACCTAGGACTGTCCTGTCAGATAATTTGCGTGCTCCAAGTCAAAGATTGAATAACAAAACGCTCTTAGCCACTCTGCTTGAGTGGTTAATTTCCACGTGGATTTTTATTTTTAATACGAAATATTCATAACAATGATTTTCAGGATTTTTATTATTATTTTTGTTTATTTGCACAAATTGCATAAATTGTTGAAAAAAAATTATTTGAAAAAAAAGGAATTGTTGGACAAAACGGCACCTCCGCTAGCAAAAATTTTTCTAAAACTTCCTAGATCAAAAAACCCCATCCACCGCAGTGAGACTCGGATGACTTGGTTTTTGGTAATAAAAAATTTCTGTTAAATAAGAAAATTCTACTAATTCCATGTATATTAAAAGTTACTACCAAAAAAATAAAAATAAAAATGTATTTTTTTTTTAGTAACAATGAATCACTAATAACTAAGTATTCTGTTTTTAACTAGAATTATTTGTTCAAATTGTCAAGAGCAATTTCCAATAAATCGCTGCCTCGTGCCTTCTCGCCGTGAACAAATAAAGTAATATGTATTCATTTTTGGGTCATCAAAGATAATTCAACTTTGTGTGATCCCTCTGTAAACGTCTTCAATGTATAGACTTTTGATAAAATTGAACGATGAACTGCTTCATATTTTGTGTGTGTATATTTTCTCTATAAAATCTCACATAATGCTCTCGCAAAATAACCAACGTTGGCAGAATTATTCTTTTCAAATGTGATTACGCAACACAATGTGTTGAGCAAGATGCATAACCACGAAGGCGACAATCTGGTAATAAGAAACTATCAAATTCATCCATGACATCATGTAAGATTTTTTTTAGAAACTTTTATTTCTTTAACTATCCCAACAAAGAATTATACTATTGTAAGTTGATGAAAAAAATTAATTCAATTTTAGTAAAATAATTATTGAGTGCCTGGCTACGTCTGGTTTTGCATTTCTTAATTTAACACCAAGTCTTAACTGAGCAACTTTGCTTTAATTTGGACTAAAATTAGTCATCAAGGGTGCAATGGAAAAATTTGAACTAAAACTTTTTAAATGCATTAGTTTTTGAACTCCAATGAATATATATAAATTAAAATAATTCTTTGAAATTTATTATTTGCAGATATTTTTCTTAGTTCATAAGTTCGTTATATTAAGAAAAATTAAAAAAAAAACTTTTTCATATTGCCATAGATAATGGTGACTTTAAGTGGAGCACGTAGAAAATTATAAATGGCAAACAGGGCAAAAGAGCTAAAAATCTGAAGGAAAAAGTGATGCAGTAAATTTTCAAATCCAAGATTAAGTAATTCTGTCTAGATATGCAGCTGAAAATTAAATTTTGACCTTTGGTAGCAGAGATGCAAATTGATTTCATGCATTTTTTTTCACTCAAGTGCACTGGGATCACAGCAGCTCGGATAAGTGCATGAGTGCTGAAAGTTAATTGAATTTATATCTCATACTGTGTTGTACTGCAAGACTCATAAATCACACTTCTTGCGCATGAAATCGATCGTCGCGCTTGACAATACAAATTACAATGTTGACAGCAGAGAAAAATAATACACATAGATATTTCTTTTCTGGGTGTAATATTTAGATTGCGATTGATGGTAAAATTTCTCCCGTTGGAGGGAGATAAAGCTCGAGGTTCTGATATCTATTAATACAAGCCATTTTTTATTGGCCAAGAGGAAAAAAGTGGAGCATCTATATCACTGGTTTTTTTCGCGGCCAAATCTCTGTTATTTATTCAGACTGATGAGGTAAATGGAATTGTTTATTGTCGTGCGCAGCCACAAAAACACATTTTTGGGTCACACATGGCGCGACCCTTGACACAAGAGCGCGACCTTCGGCAAGGCATTATGTTCTGTAATTAAAAATTAACCCTAAAAATATAAAACCAAAACGAGACTGACGCACTTGCCATTGATCTCTTATTGCGCACTACATTATAATATAATTATTAATTCTGGTTTCGCAATCGCAAATAATGTACGTTTGTGCTGCTTGTCACAGCACGTCAGTAAAAATCAATTATTATGAATCTTAAGGTTACAGCTGACAAGTTTGCTAACTTAAGTGATAAATAAGAAAGTCAACGTCATTAGAAAAAATGAAAGCAATAACTATGATTGGCTCTTTACAAACCTCAATCACTGTGATTGAAATGCGAAACAATAGTATTTTACAATTTAAGGCAACAAATACTTTGATTAAAAAAATCTGCGTTTTTTTCGCTTGATAAAAAAAAGTTCAATTTTCCCTCCTATCTAATCTCACTCAGATCCTTGGGGCTTAAGAACAATTACATGGATTTAAATGAATTGAAAAATTATTTCCCAAAGTTATTGATTTTTAAAATTATTCCAATGAAACTTTAATTAATTAGGATTCTGAGAAAATAATAAAAAATTAATTTTTGAAAATAAATAATTAAATAGTGTGGTATTCTTATCATCACCCCGCCCTTGACTTTGAAGATCTTTTTTCTTTGTGGCAAAAACAGCCACTCCTAATTAAGTGCAGATAAAAGACGCCCTTGAACTTTCTAAAATTTGTGTGAATCGCAAATAATTTTATTTCCACACGCGTGCATCTTTTATGAACCATTGTCCGTTTCCGCAGGCCAGCCCCACACACATGTTGGATCCATGTGGGTCCGACTGAGACGCAGTAAATAGCCGAGCGTCAGCACTTTGTTGTTGATAACACCAGGCTTGTGGCGTTGGTGTGCATGTCATTATGGAAGAGAGGTCAGGGCACCGGGTTACAATTTGCAAAACGCCTGCTGGCGTCATTGCCTCTGCTCTCTCTCTGGGATCGAGTAAACGTGTTATCAAGGACGGTTTTTACAAGTGCGCGCTACTTTTTGTTTTTCCTTCAAATTAAAATAAAACGTGATGCCTCTTTCTTCGAGAGCTGCGTGGCCTTTTGCGAAGGTTAACACAAGACGTGCCCCCACGCACACCCCGAATATCTCAATTGTAATCTGTGCTCAATTTGGTGTGTTTTTCGCCTACACGTGTCCCATTCCTCTTTTTCTTATCAAAAAATATTAACGCGCTAATACTGGATAGGAAATCCACAGTTTGGAGGCTACCTGCGCAATATGCCATCGACTCAAGGTGAAATTTTAATATTGATGGTATTGATAGAGTCAAAGAACTTAATTTGCTCTAGAGTGAAAAGAGAGATGAGATCAACATGTTTATCGTTAGAGATTTCTTTCGCGCTTGATAACAAAACGTTTTGCAGCAACACTTACTATTTTATAATTATGTAATGTTTATTCTGCAAAGAAAAAGGCGCAAAAAACCTAGAAAGTAACTTGAAATTAAAAAAGAAAGAAATATATTAATTTAAGATTTCGTATAAACCAGGTTAAAACGTAATATGAAAAATTATTTAGTAATTAAAAAAGTAATTTATCATAGTTTCTATTGTTTTATTAAGGCATTTGAAAAAATTTATATAAAAAACTAATTTTAAATAAAATTATAAGTTTTAAATATATACACAATTTTTTTTTTCATTGTGAAAATAAATGGTCGCGGCGTCCGCGTCATCCGATAATAAAACTGATCAATTTTTCACTTATTGTTTAGTCTCTGGAGACAACCGTACTATGTATAATTATCTAGTCACTTTCCCTTCGCGCCGATTGCAATTGAAAAAAGCAACAAGCTATTCGGAAGAAAAAACACTTGTGAAGGTAGAGTCTTAAAAAATAATAAATGGAATTATTTAACCTAAGTAAATTCCCGTTTCACAAAATTCTAGAGTGCAATCGCCCTAGAGCGGTATGTCAGCCGACAGAGTTAATTATTAACATTGTCTATGAGAGCATTAAGAATAGAACAGTGTATGGTGCGGTGGCGTGTTTTCGTGCGTTGGCGCCCGCGGCGAGAGGTGGAGCTACGAACCACACCACTATCTCGAGCCAATTGCGTCGCGCTCGCGTCCCTAGTCGAGTGCGAAACGTCAGCTGGCTATGTTGTTGTCGAGTGCTGGTCACTCGATTACTTCATTATCAGCTTGATTGATATTCGGCGATCGGCCACCCGCACCCACAGTTTGGCTCCGTCCTCGGCAGTGCGCGGTTCGACTCCTGCAACACAACTCTCGATCCGCCCCGTCCAGTTGGAGCAAATTAAACCAAAAACAGTTGGAAGGAAGCAACGCGCACCAACAATGAATCTGTCGTTCGCTGGCTGCGGCTTCCTCGGCATCTACCACGTCGGGGTTGCAGCCTGTTTGAAGAAATATGCACCCCACCTGCTGCTCAACAAAATCTCCGGCGCCTCTGCTGGCGCCATCGCCGGTTGCTGCCTCCTCTGCGACGTGCCCCTTGGTAAGAATAATTAATAATAATTGTTCAATTCATGTTTTATTTAAATTCAGTTTGATTAAATTTTTGAAAATTATCAGTGCTAAATTACATAGGCGTAATTTCGAGGTCAATGAAGATGTTTAGAAAGAAATTGCATTTAAAAAAAACGCTGTTTAAATCGTCTCTTGATTTTTGGTATTAAAACATTTTATTAATTATTTATATTTTTTTACTTATTTTAATTTCACAAAATATTATATATTTGATTAAATACTTTAAATTATTTTATTATCTATTTCAATTTTACAAAATATTAATAAATTAAATATTTAAATTAATTGAATCTTTTTTATATATTTTATTTTATTATTGATATTAATTTCTTTAAATCAACGTTAAAATCATTAAGATTGTGACTGATTTGTCCTGGAACGTACAACTTTGACCTTCAAAGCTTTTGTTATCCAAGCTCAAGGTTGAAACTTGAGGCGAAATTCAAAGGAACTATCAAGTTAAAGAAAATTTCTGTGCGTCACAGGTGCATTATGAATGTTTTCCATTGGCGAAAACTGCACAGTAATCAAGCCTCTTGATGTAATACTAAAGGTTCTCTTTTGCGTGCATTTTGATTAGCAATCTTGTTATCTGAAAGAACAGAGTTTCATAACTGATGGACTTTCCAGTAAAATTGTCGCAACTTAAATATTGTAAAAACCTACAATTTAAAGCCGTTAACATAATAGCAAAATGACTAATAAAAAATTGGTAACTTTCTGAATATTTTATTATTTAATTTGAATATCTTTTAATAAACTGTAGTTCTTATTTGTATTTTTTTTTTAATAAATAGATTGCATTATTAAATTATTACGACCGCAAAATGACTTGTTAGCCAACCTATGGTTTTATAATTTTGTTACGTCCGAAGAATTTTGCTATTAAAAGATACTTTTATTTACGTCACAAAACCGTTTTCCAATAATTGCGCCAGTCTTGGTTGTAAAATTTCAAAATTGCACTTTCACCGACGCCGAAAACTGCGTCGTGCCTCTGCTCGTTCCTTCATTGATTCGTCCGTTCGAGACTATATCCCGCCCAAACAAGGAACTGCATTCGGAGGCGCGCGCTGCATTATTTGTTTAGCGATGAGAAAGAGTTAAGGCGCGATTGAGTTGCACCATGTAGGTCAAGGTTGCCCTTCCGCAGCAGCCGCAGACTCTCGTGACGCTCCAATCAGTTCCAGAGACACATATTTTTTTGGAAACAAAAACCTCCAGACGATTCTGTCTTGTGGTTTATTAAAATGACCACGTGATCCACCGACCACTTGTTCTTGCTAGTGATGATTATTCTCGTCCTTTTTTAGATTCAAAGAGTTATGCACATTGTAAAAAGTTGCGCTGATCTCGGCGAGTTCGTGGCTCTGCACTTTATTTCCTGACTCGGCTGCTTTGCACACTGGCAGAAATGCGTGCAGAAACTCTGAAGGATATCTAGTTATGCAACCAGCGAGCCACTCGGCAACAACTTCAACAAACTGGAGGCTATAATGCTGCACTAGCAATTTGATCTCCTCTAATTATAGCAGCTGCGCTTAAACGGTTTTAGTTCTTACAAAATTTAAAATAAATGTCAATTTTAATTAAAATGGTAAATTTTGAAATATTTTTTTTATCAAACATTTCAATCAAACCTCTGGTTTTGATGAAAATCGGTACAGATAATGTAAATTATCTAACTATTGTTTCTGATAATTCCCCACGCCCATCACATAAGAGTTTATTCCCTTTTCTTTGATAAAATAAACTGGGCCGGGTTATTGCGTGCTTTTTCTCGATCGCAACAATTATTAATAACGTTCTAGCGGTTCAAAGATCCTCATCTAATCTGCGCGGACTTTGTTTTCATGCCAGATTTCACACCTGAAACGGCGAAAGAATCGGCACGTGTTCTCCAACGCTGTCGGACGTTGTTTTTCTCAATGAAGCATGGATACGCTTTATCTCGCAGCCGAGACTTTATTTTTGACATCTCAGGTCAAGCTGATCAAATGTTTGTGGTGACTTAGAGACGGGCCCTCTTGGCAAACTGACAAATTCTCTCTCTCGGCACGTCCGCATGTTTGAAGAGCGATGCCTCTGCCGAGGCAAGCAATTAAGTGCTCGTTTTCAAATGCTGAGAGTTTAATCAAAATTTAAATATCCTACGTCACGCAGAGTCGGTCACATTCCAAGAACTGGACTTTCAGCTTTATGCAAACTGAAAATTGCAAAGCCAAACCATTCAACCAATGCTGATTTAAAACAAATTTAAATTAAAAGCGATGTTTTTTAAATCTATTTATCAAATATATATTAAAAATATAAAAAATACATTGATTTATCATTAATTTATGTTCTTACAGTAAACGATGATGAGTTATAATAAATATTTATTTATTTTGATTTTAAGCAATATTAAGAAATTATGCATATTGAAATAGCAATGAACTCTCTATTTAATATCCTTGAATAATTAAATACGTATAAATTCATTCGTCTGAATCATTTAAACCATACTATCTTTTAAATATCATATAATTTGAATATTTTTTTTAACATAATATCATATTTACCATATCAATATTTTAATTATTGTATTTTTTAGTATTTTTATATAGTAAAAACCTTTAATAATTTTTTTTTTTATAATATTTCATTTCAACTTCACATGTCAATAAGTTTTCTAAGCTATTGCAGTTTTTTTTTTTTTTATCAAAAAGAACATCTCAATGTCAAGACGCACAATTGATGATGACGAATCATTCATGGATAAATTTCTGCAAAATATTTACAATGCAATTGAATGACGCCAATGACAGACAGCAGCAGATTAAAAAAGTGCACCGTTATTTGCAACGGATTGTTTCCCGATCGCAAAGATGCGCTGTCGCTAATTGGCGCGCAGTAAATAGGGAAAAATCACGCCGGTCACGTTTTCCGAAGTAATCGCGTGTTTGCTGCAGTTACTGCGTATTTACATTTATTACATTTCAGCCAATAAGTAATAAATCCGAGAAAGAGATAGCGCGAGTTCGGAATGCTCTCTCGGCGCGTCTGAAAAATATAAAGTCAATTTTCTTGACCGCGGAAAGGCTCGGTGTCTGATCCACATCAAGAGTGCGATGAGCAATCGCTGCTTTTATTATGGTAAACATGACGCAGAAATCGCCCGTCGAGCGTATATTTTATTGCGCCAGATAAGAGGCTGCATGCGAGTGGATTAAATGCGTTTTTTGCTCGGCAGGGAGTTTACGAGAGAGACCAACCAGCTGGCTGAGGTCACTAATGGTCACTGCAGAGTAAAAATGACTCGAGTGACTCACGGGCTTATCAATTTCTCGCGAGATGTGTCAACGGTTCAATCACCTTTGCACCAATTTCGATTCCCTGAAACTCACAGAATTTTGGAGTTAAAGTTTTATATATTTTTGTACGTTGCAAGTTTTGTAAGACGTGTCAATGGAACCAGTTGTTGAATGGAACGTGCTAAAAAGGGGTTAGAGTTTCGCGGTTAATACAATTTGCGGCGCAGGTGAAAGTGCACGTGCCGGGCTGCATCAATAATATACAAAAGCATTCGAATCCTCACAAGTGCCCGCGTGACTTGCAGCGTATACGAGCCTTGGCTGTCGCTCAAAACACATCATTTCAGGGGCAGACTAAGCCAGACAAGTTGGCCAAGCGTCAAATTTTTTAGTTTAATTGAATATTTTTTATAAAAAAAACTGGCAATTTTGCAAATCTCTGCCAGAAATTTTAAGAAGAAAATAATTTAAATTTTATTAAATTTTTCTACTTATTAACCTGTATTATAGGTTATTGGATAATAGAAACAGGTTGTTGATTGGTATAAATCCATCATGGGACGCCACTGCTTTATTTGGCCAGCTCGGGCGCAATTCAAACAGATGATGCGTTCTTTTAAGGGCGCTGGCGGTCAAACACGTTTTCGTGTCGCGGAGTTGCTATGCACTTGTTGCGCGTAATGAGTAATGACATGTACATAGTAATGTACGTTTTTTAAGGAAGTCGTGACATTGGCCGTCTCTAATCTGCTATTTCTGTACGCCAGTTAATTTAATATTTAATGAGGTTTGTTTGTTTGTTTGCAGGCGAAATCACAAGTGACGTTTTGAGGGTCGTGTCTGAGGCCAGAGGTAAAACTTTGGGCCCCTTTAGCCCATCGTTCAACGTGCAGAACATTCTCCTCGAAGGGCTAGCAAAGGTATATAATTGAATTTTTTTTTCATTTGCACGGATTTTCAAAGAGATTTGACCGGTCACGAATCCGTCTCAAATGATTTAGTTGAGCACGAAGGTTAACTTTAATCATTTTTGATCGCAGGTTCTGCCTGACGATTGCCACGAAAGAGTCAGCGGCAAGCTGCACATTTCACTGACCAGAGTTTATGACGGCAAAAACGTGATCGTCTCCGAGTTCAACAGCAAGGAGGACCTTCTCCAGGTAATTAAAACTCAATTAAAAAAACCAATTAATTAAAAATCAAACTCCTGCAATTGAGACCACTTAAGAAGTCCAATCGATTTAAATTCTGTAACATAATAAAAGTACAAAAAGTATTTTCCGCGCCAAGGCGATTTTTGCCAGTTCCTTTATCCCCCTCTTTTCGGGGTTTCTGCCACCCCGGCTGCACGGTGTGCGCTACATGGACGGGGGACTGAGCAACAATTTGCCCACGCTGGACGAGCACACCATCACCGTCAGCCCGTTCTGCGGAGAAAGCGACATTTGCCCCCGAGACCCCTCCTACCAGTTGCTACACGTGAGCCTCCCTCCAACCTCAATCGACTTCTTATCTTTCCAACACGTCTCACCCCTTCGCATGCCCTCTATAAAAATACAAGACTCGTCTCTTTTTGCATGAATTAATGTGTCTGAACTATTTCTTCCTTCTCCTTTCTAACTCTCTTCTCGGTGTTTGTTGATTCTCTTAGGCCCTTCTCAGCTCGGCCTTCATTCCGATTTTTTCGGGGTGGGTTCCACCCCGTTTCCACGGTGTCCGTTACATTGACGGCTGCTACAGTGACAACCTGCCTATTCTCGATGAGAATACGGTCACTGTCAGTCCCTTCTGTGGCGAGAGTGACATTTGCCCTCGCGACGACTCTTACAATGTTCTCCAGGTATGCATGCGGCACTCATTTTTTTTTCAGCCTTTTATCAGATTGGTTTGTCAATCAGCCAAAAACACGTTACACGAGTTGTGAGCTCAAGACAAAGGGAGAAAATCCCCCGACTTGAGATCACTATCAGGCGCCTCGCCATTGTATTCAAGTCTGAAAATTTTAAGAATAATAGAAATATGATACATTAACAAAAAAACCACATAACAAGAGGGCGATTTAAATTGGTGCTGGCTGGTAACAGACTCATCTTCTTAAAAAAGAATAGCATGCAATTACTTTCCTTTGTTCTTTTTCTTATCGTTCGTTTGCACGCTCGTGATGGTGAAATTAATTTATCTCTGATCGCCACAGGTCAACCTGGCCAACACAAGCATTGAGCTGTCAAGGCAGAACATCTACAGGTTCGCCCGCATTCTCTTCCCTCCTAACCCCGAGGTAATAAATCTCTCCGGCTGTTGTTTTGCTCAGTAATTAAAACCAAACACATCTCGTTGCAGATTTTGTCCGACATGTGCAAGCAGGGCTTCGACGACGCTCTTCGCTTTTTGCACAGGAACAATCTTATCAACTGCACGCGTTGTCTAGCTGTCCAATCGACTTTTACTGTCTCCGAGGCGTTGGACGAGTCATGCTTTGATTACGATCCGCAGTGCAGAGAGTGTAAAATTCAGAGACAGGTAATTACGAAGTAATCAAATAGATTGACAATAACCTCGATATCTGGCATTGAAAATTTAAAAGAGATAATTATCAAATTTAACAAAATTTCAGTTTAATTTCAAGAGTGGGCAGTTAAGTTTAAATCAAGTCAAGCACAAAATGAACGGACCTTTTAACTTTTCTTATCACATGCTCACTTTCAATTATTTTTCATCAACAAAAGAAGCAAAAGCTTTGTTTTACTTGACCAGAGTCCACTGATACTTTATCTGCTTGGTAATACCTTTAAAAGTGTTAAAGTCCATTGCTCTTTTCTGGGGATGATGAAATTTTCCTTTTTCAAGGTACTTCATAAGGACAATCTTAAAAATTTAAGTGAGACCTTCAGTTAGTGATCACTATCTGTACTTTAATCTTTTTCTCGTTATTTTAAATTACTTGTTGCCTTATCGGAAAATTTTGAAAAAAGCGGTCATATGTTGTAACAATCGTAACAATTATTATATAACATGCATCTTTGAAATTAAACATTCTTTTAACAAAAAATAAAATTACAGGAATCTATGGTGGCAGATCTTCCGGAGACTGTGATGACAATCTTCCAAGAAGCAATTGATACTGCCAACAAGGGGCTGGTCAACTGGATCTTCAAACACAGAGGCATGAAACTGCTCTCTGTGCTGAGCCTTCCTTGTGTCCTTCCTGCAGACATTGTCTACGCCACGTTTACAAAGTGAGCAGAGTCAATATTTTTATCACGCTGTTAGTGCTAAGAAAAAACATAACTAAAACTGTAAATGCATGCACAGCCCTTTCGCAAATTCCAATCATGGGTGGATAATGAGCTTTTGCGCAGCTAACAATTTGGGGGATAGATTCACTAAAGTTAGCTGCTGGGGAGACCCTGAGGTCTTTGGACGGGGTCACTGCCACAAACACAAGAGGAGGAGGTGAGAAGACTGGGCTTGTGCCAAAGACATTCACTATTTTTTTAAACCTGTAATAGATAAGAAAGTATAAATGCATTGCCGGTTATAAAAATTAAGAATAAACCAAATTAATTAATGTTTTTTGTCCTCCGATTCAAATGAGCACAAGCTTTTGTCTTCTTGCTTTCTGTTTGATTGTCTCAAATCTGCAGGCTTTTTTTCGTTTTTTAATTATTGTGTCTTTGTTTTAAATTGAAAACATCACTCTAAATTACTGCTTCAATTTCAGGTTCCTGAGTAGCGCTCCCCACATTGGAAGCAACCTGAGACAACTAAGTCAATATTTAATGGAGAATTTGGCGACACTCATTAGCAGTGTGAACAACAAGAGAGAACAGCTGACAGCCAAAATCTCTTGCAACCTTGCCATCACTGAATACAGAGGGAGTAAGTGATTGCATTTTTATTAAAAGATTTGCTTATACATGAAATTTCTGCAACAGCCAAATATGACATTGAATCGAGTGCCGATGTTCCTGCACCAGTTCAAAACCAAATGAACTTCAACTTTACTCTCAATCTGGAGGAGCAGTAAGTTTAATTTTATGAATAATTAATTCCTGACTAAGCAAAGATTTTGCCTCACAGAGAGCTCCCCGTTGACCAACCCTCGGCTCTCAAGTTCCAAAACAAGATGCTCGGCCAAGCGTCGCGCCGCTCATCCAGCATTAGCATCATCAACAACCAATGTGAAACCAACGCAATTGCTGAGGACACTTTCGACCACATTTTACAAGTGACTGCCCACAACGATGCTCTGATGGCCTTTTACTACCTCGACGAAAACAACAAAGTCAAAGTCACCGAAATCTTTGACGTCACTGATGCTGACACAGCCGGTTTGCTGGACCCTGATGAGAGGAACACCAACCTGAACCTCGAGTATGACGACAGGGACTGGCTCAACAGCACCTCATGGGATGGTAAGTTGCATTACAAAAAAATTGGTGTTAGATAGGATTTAATGTGTTGATTTGTGAATTTTGTTCTCAATTTATTTTTTAACAAGACTGCGTATACTTGGTGCAGTCTAATCTCCACGTTTTTCCTATCTTTGACTGAAACAAAGAAGCAATGTAAATTAAAAAGTAAGTTTTGACACTTCTAGGATTGGAGTATTAAAACTTATGCAGTTTGGTATTTATTAAAAATTGCTATTAGAGTTAAAATTTATGTTGTCAGATGTTTGCATTTGATAATGTCTTAGATAAGCAGTAGAAATTTAGAAAATAGTAAAATCAGTTAATACAGATTTACAATTTCAATTACTTGCCATATTTATCGCTGTTTCGATTTTACGGCTCTAAATTGATCTTTCAAAAATTTCCAGAGCAATGCGAAGACGACCGGCTCAGTATTGCAGGCTCTGAGGATTCGTTGCTCAACTCAATTCTGGAAGACAACACAAACATCTTCTCCGACCCAGAGAGCGAGTGGCAGCAAAACTCTCCAAGCGGACAGGGCGAGAAATGTCCGGACTCTCGGCCAGAGTCGGACCAGCTCTCTGTCGCATCTCCTTGATGTGCATCAAGTGGAACCATAATTTATTTTGTAAATAATGGAAACTTGTTGCCAAGTCAACTAGAAAAAAGATAGGTTTAATGCAAAGTTCCTATAATGGAGTATTTTTACTGCTGAGCTGTGTTGAAGACAATCATGTTGCCTTTTACCAAAATGACACTATTTTCGTGGACCTTGTGGTCTGATGGATATTATAACTTAAGGATAGTCAACCAATCTTTCACGCTGCCAAGATTATAAAAAAAGGTGTGACTGCTTGAAAAACCAAAAAAATATAATGTTAAGTCTGTCACCTTGCAAGTTTGAAAATCTCCGTAGAGAACAAAAGCACAAATCTTGCATTCGTGATGCAAATATATTCTGTGGAAATATTTACTAGAGTTGAATGCAAGCTCAAATGTACTTTGAAATTGATCGGAAATGCTGAAAGTTTAAAAGCATAGAAATAGCAGTAATTTTATTGTTAAGCAAAGAGCGTGTTGATTGTCGAAGATGAAGATCTCAATGGCTATTTGTCGCGTAAATGGCATTTTACCAAGGCTACTTTAGCATCTGGCATCAACGGATGATATGTAAATCTATTTATAATCCATCTAGGAATTCAAACACTTGTGAAGCAAAAGAGTGAACGACAGAGAAAATGATCAAATTATCAGAGGCTGTAATACTTTGTATCACTTTTTATTCTATATTTCTGTGAGGTATACTTAAAAGTAAGGTGCTTAAATTAAAGAACTTTTGTACGCAAAATTTAATAAAAATGAAATATTAATAAATCAAAAATTATTCTGCCTATCATTAAATTTTATTTTTCAAATTCAGTGCTCCTACAATTTTTTCTTTTTTTGTATGTTTGAGCCAAAAAGTTAAAGAGATTTTGTGAGGTGATAATGAGTCCCACTGCAAGATTGTTAAAAGATATTCTGTAAGACAGATTTATTGCACACTTCCTGCTCTCTTTTCCAAAAAATTGTTTTCATTTTGTTGCCTTTATTTTATTATCCTAGGGTAGGGTACTCAACAATGAATAGAAAAAGATGCGCACGTCTTGAAAATACAAATATTATAAAGAAGGGTAAGCGTGAAAATATCTTTCTTGGAAGGGGAGGAATGTGTGGGAAAGACTGGCGAAAAGTGCGCACAGGTAAATAAAAATTGCCATCCACTGCAGGGACAATAATCCTTGCACGCACGCTTGACCATTGATTAGGCCTTCCACATATTCTTGAGTTGTAAAAACGTCGCCCGACTCATTCCGCCGCGTTTGATCTGCATTTTGAATGACAGGTGGAGGAGCCTGGGAAAGGAAGGCGAAATGTATAAAAATCCCCCCAAACCTTTATATACCTGTGGTCAGAAAATGAAAACATACGCTGCACTGCACGTTTGAACATGTCCAGAGCGCAGCAAAAGAAGAAATTTTATGCTAAAACGAAAGGTCCTGAGACCACTTCAAAAGAACCTCTTTCTATTTTTCCACCAGCGACAACAATGGAAAATGAAAAAGAAGCTGTCTGGTTCAACAAACCCCTGGGCTGTAAATCTGTGTGCATGAATTTGAAAGGACCCCCGTGGCGCGCCGCGGACCCTTGTAAGCAGGTAGAAGCTCCTGCTGCTCCAGTCGGCCACCAGAAATGTGCTCGATTTCTATTATTGTGGCCGCCGAACAGTGGAAACACCCTTGTAATAGCCACCAACGCGTTTAATTACATGCGCGCACCTTTGATTTCCTTGTTCGCCGCGCTGCTGGAAACGTCTAGGCTACCAAAATTAATTCTCTACACGATGAAACATGGAAGATGACTTAACATAAACACCGATTATTTAACCAGAATCAGTTTTTGTTTACTTCTTAACTTAATTCACATGATAATAAATATGGTTTAATAATGCTGATAAAATATTCGCGCTAATTAATGAATATTTTAGTACTATGAAATAAAATTATGACTGAAGAAGATATATGAAATTAAATTGTAGATGTAAGAAAGCGATAAAACGTCTTTAAGGCATCAATTAGAATTGCTTCATAATTAATGCTTAATTTATTCAATAAATAAATAACCTTCAAAAGATTTTTAAATATGTATATTAATAATCAACTATTCAACTACCAAACTTCATCTTCGATCAAAATTATCAAAACTTGAAAAATGAATACTTGTCAGATACTTGTACTTGTAGGAAACGTGATAGTGAACTTTTTAGCTATAAAATTAAATATTTTTAGTTTTAATTGTTTTTATAAATTTTTTGAGCATAAAATATTACAATCTGCTTCTCTGCACCATAAAATCAAAAACGTTGAAATTTTTAAAACTATCGATGTAAATTAAATAATTGATGGATCACAAATTTAAATTAAATAAAAAATTTAATGTACTTAAAATAATATATTATATTTTTACTCGAACAAATTGAAAATACAAGATAGAAAATCAAATTGGATGATAAGCAATAAACCATAGCAAAAAGGTGCCATATAAATGCAATTACACTGCAAAAGATGCACCTGGTCAAGCGGGAAGGCAGTAAAAAAATCGTGACCTCTATATCAATTCAATAATCATCTTTTACAGCCCCAATTTTCTCAAAATTATCAGCAAGGCCCCACGCAACTGATGCGCTCTCGACAGGTCTCTCAAACCGGTGTGCCGGTTGCGTTTGTTACACATTTAAACTGTTTTCCTCATTAATATTCTCGCGAGCGATTTTCGCATGCACGCCCAGGTGTGCCCGCGTGTTGAAAATGAAAACGGCCTTACAGAGAGATGATATTAGGCTCGTATTATGTACAAATACATAATAATTACGTGTGTCGGGTTGCGTGTCCATTGTAATTTTTAGAGAGCATCGGTTCTAAATAAAGCAAAGGCAAGATATAACCCGTCCGATTGCGCGATTGCACTCTCGCTCGCGAAAGGTCCACTCGAGTGGTCGTGAGAAAATGTTCTTTAAACGCGAGCAGCAGCCGGTTACCTCGCGTGGGTTTCCAGCATTGCTCTCGTAAAAATGCTCGTTTCGGTGCGAGTGTCATAATAATCCTGTTCCCCAAATTGCCACTTATGCTGATGCTCTCTCGCCACTGATGGAGCCAAAATATACATATATGAAATGTATAACAGAGTTAAGAGAGATGCTGGTCCATAAGCCTGCAGGCGAGGACAAAACGCTACTCGCCTTTTTCCGCTAATGCGGCCTGACGGTTTATGATATTGAGACGTTGATTCTGTAATTAGATGGCAAATTGAGTGATTAATTGGATATTAGATGTAATCTGACTTTGAAATCGTACGGAAACTTGACGAGATGAAAAAAATAATAATAAAGACAATCAAATGCTGAGCATTACAGCTTTTTATGCTGAGCTTTTATCCCTATAAGGTATTGTTTCAATCAAAGTGACGTGCTAACGTCCGAGAGTCTTAAAATAAACCATAAAATAGCTAATTATCTCCACGCCGCCAGCATTTATTATAAGATAAAATCCTTTTTTTCATAATTTTGTTTTATGGGTTGCAAAACTTTTTGCAAAGCCAATTATTTTCTGCTCTTTTTTTCCATGGTTCATTTATTATAATTATGATAAATTAATTAAAATTTTTCTCTCAGATTTAAATCTGGTTCTTTTTAGTCAGTAAAATTATAACAAAATATTAACTGAATTTACTATACTTACAATAAGTATGGTAAGAGAATAATTGAAAGTTTATAGTTTAATCAACCGGATGCAACGAGTGAGATAAAAGTAAATATTGCTTGATTATAAAACATTGTAACTTCAAATTCAAAATCAATATTTAAAAACTATTGATATCATTAAATATTTTTATTGATAAATGCTTTAAAAATGTAAAAAAGTAAATGTTCAAAACAATATTTTGTTATCATTCTGTTTACTTCAAAACTGCATGCATATTGCTTTTGCCAATACATTTTATCTCTACAACATGATTCATTGTTTTGATGATAATAACAATCTTGCTTTTCTTTATATTTTCAAAGATTGTGTTTTTATAATAAAAGTCATAGATTTTTCTACAGCTATTATCTTTAATGAACTCTCGACTTTATTACAAGAAATAAAATTAATTTCGTCATCTTTAAGTACAAATCTGTATACACAAATATATGAAAATCACTGCTCCAGCACTAGTAAAACATTATTGAATGTGTTTGGTTCTTGCGAACTTTGAATTTTTCAGACAGCACCTCACAAATGAAGCATTTTATGTAGTTATAGCATACTTTGAATCCCTTCTTTCTATACAAAAGCTCTCTCTCTCTCTCTCTTACAAACATCATCTCGCACATTTTCGCCGCACAATATAAATATAAAAGGCCACATTTTCAATATCTGGCGCAATATATAAAGATCCTGTTTCTCAAGTCACAACTTTTAAATATATTAATTAAAAAAATTTATACATCTCTCATTAAAAAAGCTCCAGTCCTTTCGAATTTGCGTCAATCAATTCGAATTTCATATATATATATTATTACATTTAATCGATTTCTTCTACAATATTATATAGAAAAAACAGGCACTGGACTAACTAAGGAACATGTCACAGTTTTAAAATAATATTAATAATCGTAATAATTCTCTGTCTGTTTTTCAATTTTTCATTTTAAATAAATTTAAAATTAACATTAGATGGCAATTTTCTTAAACGCTATCACACTTTTTGTTTAATAAATTCATCGATCTCGACGGAAGCACTTCCGTCTCACTGGAAAATAGAGCTGCTAAAACTAAATCAACAACAACAAGCGCCAGCTTTGTCTTTCTCTCTCACACAATAACAGTCAAAACGTCCTGCTGTTGGTGCGGCTGTCTGTCGGCGGGCGACTGCACGTTCCTCTGGATCGGCAGCACCCGCAGGTTGATGGGCTTGTTGAAGTCTTTGTGCGCCATCATGTTCACCGGCGACTTGTTTTTGCTCACGTCGGGGTTCTGCGGTTTGAACAGCTGGTTCGATATCCGCGCGCTCGACGCCTTCACAAAGTTGAGATTGTTCGACACGTTGGGGTCGATGGCCTCGGCGCCGTCGTCCCCGCACACCACACCCCCTCCCACCCCTTCGGCCAGGTCGCCGCCGCAGCCGGCGCTGCACGAGGCACTGAAACGGTCGCGGTCGCCGATCGGCGAAGGGTCAATGATGGACACAATGGCGCACCGGTGCAGATTCTCCTCGTAGGTGACGTTGTTGGACTTTTCCAGGTCTGTCCGCAGGTCGATGTGCTCCGGAGGCCCCGCGTCTAAATTGGGCGCCACGCGGACCCGGCACTGCCACAGGAGGACCAGCACGATTAGCACCACAATGGCCACGATGAGCAGGCCGAGCAGCGCGATCAGCCAGTCCGTGGTGGCCGAACCGTCCGGGGCGCTCGTGTGCACCACCGTCTCCACTTTGACCTCGAGCATGGCCTCCGAGAGGCTGGAGGCGTTGGTCAGTTTGTAGCGGATCGACTCGCTTAGCAGTTTGATGCCCTCGGTCACTGCCAGCACTTCGGACGAAAGGTCAGACGGGTTGGCCGACTATGGACAAAGGGTTCAAAAGATTTTTATAGTAAATTTTTAAGTATTTAAAAAAAATTAAAATAATTTTGTTGGATTATAAATTTTTTCTTATTTAAAAGTCATTTTTCTTTTCTTTTACAAAACACTAATTGGTTTTTGGATAATTTCAAAAACTAAAGTAATGACTAATGGCTATCAATTTACCTGCAAAATGTAAAAATTTGTCTTGTTCGAGTTTTTGTGCTTTTCATGCTATTTTATGTCAACAAATTTGAATGAAATTGATTTTTCCAAAATTTCAAACCATTAGCTGTAATCATTAATTGGATCTCAACTGGATCTCAAACATTTTTTTTTTATGACGTGACAAAATTAAAGATATGAAGTGAAACAAAGTAAAGTAAAATTAATGAATCAGAAGAAAGGAATAAATTAAGTTGCTATTATAACCGCTATACTGCAAGAAAAATGAATACACGAGTGGAAAAAGTCCAAAAATAAATGTTTTCATTTATTACGCTAAGCTGGTTGCATACATTTTTTTATGGAAATTTTACACTATATAAAGGAAAATTTCATTTGGTCATTTAATTTTTGGCAAACCAGACAGACCTAATTTTTATTATTAAAAATCTGAAAAAAGAAACCAAACGTTTCACTCACCATTGTGACCTCAATGATGTTGTTGAACCCGGTCTTCATTTCGCACACAATGACCAGCAGGTTGGTGTCGCCATTGATGGTCTGGTAGGTGGATGCGATCTTCCTCAGTTGCCCGCAGATGCCCTCGACAGAGGTGCCCGGCTTCAGTTTGCTCCGGTCCAGCAAGAGGCTGAGGCGGGCGCACCGCGAACTGAGCACCGCCTGGTTTGGCCAGCAGTCAGGCGAGGGCGGTCGGTCCTGCAGGGCGTACGAAATGGGTCTGCACACGCCCCACGGTTCACACTCGGAGGCCAAACAGTTCTCAGGAGGCGCGTTGACGCACTTCTGAGGCCCGGTGCACGCGTGTTGCGGCTCGCGGCAGTTTCGAGGGCCGCACCACACGTTGGTGCAACTCACGCGGCCGTTCAGACACGTGCATGTGTTGCAGTCTTCGGTCCACGAAACGTTGGGTTTGATGAAGTGGCCGCGCCAAGAGCAGTCCAATTCGTAAATGACATCGCCTAAAAGAGGGAAATAAAAATGTTGAATTTTTCGAGAAAAAAAGTGGTATAAATACATTAAAAAAACTCGATTTTTTAACAATGATTATTTTTATTGAAATTTAACATTAAAAAAAATGTAAATTAGAGAAGCAAAATAAATTAAATTCACAAGTTCTAATAAATTAAATGTTCAAAAAAAAATTGAATCAGATAGAAAATAATTGAGCTTTTGCCCTACCTTTTTCACAAAGTGGTCCATGGCGTCCAGGCGGACAATCGCACTTGAACGTGCCAATGCCGTCGAAGCAGGTGCCGCCGTGTTTGCAAGGGCTGGAGGCGCAGTCGTCGATGTTGATTCTGCAGTCGGGCCCTGTGAAACCGTTGGCGCACTCGCAACGGTACCAGTTGACGCCGTCCACGCACTGGCCGCCGTTGTGACACGGCATCGGATTGCAATCGTCCGAGTTCTTTTCGCAAGTTCGCCCCTCAAAACCGTCTTTGCAGATGCAGTAGAAGCCAAGACCGTCCGAGACGCACGTGGCGCCGTTTTTGCATGGATTTGACTGGCATGCTTGCGATTTGGCTGCAAAACAAATGGGAAAATATTTTTTTAAATTATAGTATAACTGAGAGTGGTAAAAGATCTGATTAATTGCGGTTCATGACATAGCCCAACGTATTATATAACAGGGAAAAAAATTTTTCGTCTTACATTTTGAAGCTCTTCTTTATATTTCTTTCAGTTTCTTCTGAATCGTGTTTTGTTTTCTTTTAACTCAAATAGTTGATTTTTTTATAAGAAATAATTGATTACAATTTTCAGCCTACTATGAATCTCTATCAATGAGATGCATGAGATATGATTCCATAATTTGAAATGAAAGTTTCTGTACATCAGAGAATTATATAGTCTTATAAATATTTTTTGCTTCTAAACTATGAAAGTATTATAGTTAAAATATAAAATAAGTTTAAATAAGTTTTATAATAAAAATAAAATTAAATAGCTAGAACATATTTATTACATTATAATTTAAAGCTTAAATAAAATTATGCTTTAAAAATAATTTTTACAATTATATGATTCTATGTTGGTTAAAAAAGTTAAATTTTGCAATTTTACAGATAAAAATTTAATCATTTCCAATTTAACCTTAGTTTTTACATTCAAAGTTCTTTTTAATCTTCAGTCAACAGAGAAACGAGAAATCCTCAGGAATATAATGAAATCCATAATTTTGAATGATAATTGTTGCTCATGAAGTCATGAGTTATGTGTTAAATTTTGATTTGTTTCGCTTTGATTGAAACTTGGAAAGTATAAATTATAAATTTAATATCAAAAATAAAAATCAAAAATATTAAAAATAAAAATGTTACATTGATAAAAATGATTAAAATGAATAAATTTTTTGTAATTTTTTTTATGAATTAAGAATAAACATCTAATAATTATATTTTAATTTTCTTACCTATGTGGCAGACGCTGCCCTCGAAGCCGGGCGGGCAACGGCATTGGAAGGAGTTGCCCAGGTCCTTGCAGGTGCCGCCGTTGAGACACGTGTTCTGGTCGCAGTGGCTGTCCCTCAGGCTGCATCTCTTGCCCTTCCAGCCGTTGCGGCAGGTGCAGATGAAGTCGGCGTCGGCGTCCTGGCAGAAGCCGTCGTTCTCACACGGATTCGAGTCGCACTCGTTGCGATCTGCGTGGAAATGAACAAAGAAGCACACATGATGAGAAAACCCCAAAGCTCACCGCACATCATGACGCCTTGCGGTCGGTGTAGATTTTGCGGTCACCGAGAGCATTTTGTGTTTCGGCTCGAGTTTCAGCCAAGGTGTAAATTCATTAAATTACAAAAATCCAAGACGACGAGGCTCGATTGATTTGGACGAACACGTTTCGCCCAAAATCTCGGCGATTCCGCCTCGAATTTCAATAAAGACCGAGCGTCCGCCTGATTGCCCTGGCACGGCAGCTCAGGGGGAAATCTTAGAAAAACGTACAGGTGAGACACTCGATACCCCCTCGTATAGATTGTTAGTAGATTGAATTGATAAAGACCAAAAGACCATCAAAGGGTATCACCCACCGTACTTTGTGCAATCATTCCGTTCGTCTTGTCGGCCGCCTTGGCCGCGCGATTAAAAAAAAAATGAAAGCAAAGCATTTTTTCGCCCCCTTCGTGGAGCGTTGCAGACATGCGAGATAAAAATCACGTGGGAAAATCTGCGCCGGTAGATCCCTAAAAAGTGCGGAAATTTGCACACCGAATTTTGCACATTCAAGCGGAAAAGACTTTGTGAAAAATAAGACAAACAAGGATAAAAATGCAGCCGCCTCCCCTCCTGCTGCTCTCAACGCCAAGTTAATGAGCTTCATAATGATCAAATGTGTACCCGAGACCGCCCGCGTGTCTAAATAACCCTGTCTGCGAGGATTGTTTCAAGGCTACTTTTCTCAAGAAATATAAAAGTAAATGAAAAAAAAAAATTAAAAGAGCTAACTTTCAGCTAAGAAGAAATAAAGCATTCACTGTTTATTTTTTTGTGATGTTTAAGAAATTTACTGCCCATTTATAAAAAATGGCTGAAAATACTTTGGAATTTAATCATAATTTGTAATATTAAGCTAGCGTCGATATCTACGTAGCTGATTAAGTAAATAGAAAAGTCAACTTACCAATTTGGCAAAACTGGCCTTCCCAACCGTCTCGGCAGTAGCACTGGAACGAGTTGACTTTGTCCACGCAAGTACCGCCGTTCTTGCACACGTTGTCCGCGCAGTCGTTGATGTCTGCACAGACATAGAGAATTCGGCACTCGTTAGAAAGAAAATACGAGCGAAGAGATAAAATGGCACGGGAGGAAAAAAATGCGCGCGCGGCTTTAACTAACTAACTAGCCAGAGATGAGATGGGCCGATAGGTGATTTAGGAGCGAGCGAGAGAGAAGGAAACGTCGGCCAGAAATAAATCAGGGCTCTATACTCACTCTCGTGGCAAAACTGGCCGGTGTAGCCAGGGTCACATTGACACCAATAGTTGCCTCCGGGTTGGGCCACGCACGTGCCATGTTGGCCGCAAATGCCTGTGGCGCTGCCGTTGGACAACAAAGATTGCGCCGAGCAACTGTCCACGTCTGAAGCAAAAATGTTTCTTATTTAATCGAAAAATTCTTTTTAATGTTAATCTCAAATCATTTGGTATCTATTTATTTCCTGAGTTCACTTAGGTTGATATTATAAATGTGTGGGTTTTTTTTAGAAGTAACTTTAAAAATTTTTAACCTAGAAATATAACTTCGAGTACAAAATTCAAAAGGTGAGACAAATTTCTTTTACGTAAATGATAAAAACAATACTAAAACAATTTAAATTTAAAATTGAGCTACATGAAATGCATTGATAAATAAATATAATTTTTTGGACAGTTTATAATTATCAAAAATATAAACCAATTGTATTGAACAGTGCTGATGGGTGTTTAGATAAATATTTGCTGATAACCTACTTGCGAAATTTTTTAATGTAAATTAATTTAATTAATTGAAACATCTGAGAAGATTACTATTTTCCACATATAATTTTTATAATGATAGCTTTCCAACTATAGGACAGGGCAATTATTATATAATTGTAGACAAAATTTATTTCATATAATACAAACGCAAAACTATAAACATTATTATTTTACACAAAATCCCTTTAATGACAAAAATAAAATAAAAATTATAAAAATAAAAATTTATAAGCAAATTGTGAAATATAATTGTTAAAAATTTAATATTAAATTAATTAAATTTTCATAGCATTATTAATAAATTACTAATAAATTTTAAGTGCACTTACAATTGCTGACAGGGCTGCTGCAGTTCTTGCCCTCCCAGCCTTGTGGGCAGTGACAAAAGTAACCCTCCTCCTGCGCGTTGACCAGACAGGGTGCGTCGTTTTTGCAAGGGTTGGGATTGCAGTGGTCGTGGTCCACCTCGCACGTCTTGCCCACAAAACCCACGGGACAAATGCAACGGAAAGAATCAATTCCGTCGTTGCACTCGCCTCCGTTCTTGCAGGGGTTGCTTTCACACTCGTTAATGTTGACGTCGCATTCCTTGCCTGCGCACCGGACAAAAAAAAAAAAAAAAAATTAGGCACGTGAGTGAAATACGAAAAAAAAAATGTGGAAAATCATTTTTTATAATTGTGAGGAATTTCCGGCGACCTATCCGATTTAAATAAATAAAAAAAAGGAAGGACACGTTTTTGTGTGAAAGACTGACCTGTGAATCCGGGCAGGCAGGCACAATGGAAGTTGTTAACCAAGTCGATGCATGTGGCCCCGTTCTGGCATTGTCCAACGCAGTCATTAATATTGTGGTCACAATGTCGGCCGGTCCACCCCTCGAGACACTGGCATTTGTAGCTACCTGGGAGGTTGTGGCATGACGCTGCATTTATGCACGGCGACTTGGACGCTTTGCACTCGTCCACGTCTGAAATTTGAATTATTTTTTTATTATTTATTTTTCCTTAACAAGCGGTGCGTTAATGTCTATTTGAGTGCCGCGTGCATAGGCGAGTGTTCATTTTTTTCTGTCGAGTTTGTTCAGGTGAAAAATAGATTTCGCCAACAAAGTGTCGTTTTGTGATGGTAATCATCGCTCGGGAAGATTTTGGGGCTCGCAAAGGAGCACCAAAAAAGAGACGTGCGCACTTATTTGTGCTATAGGATTATTAATGATGTGTACTTTCCGGAAACCGTTCTTTCTCTCCTTTACTGTTTTTTTTCAAGTGTTTGCCAGCAGAGATTTCTTTTCTAGGAAAAGCTAGGCAAGGAGTAAAATCTTAAAATCAAAGAAAGGTGAAAATGAGTGGGTTGAGAATAACAAAATTCTAAACCTTTTTTATAATAATTTATTATTTAGTTTGAATAAATTATATCAGTGTCTTGAAATGAAATAAATAGATAGCTTGAATCAAGAATTCCTTTTTGAAGATCTCTGTAGCTAAAATCAGAAAGTCAGTTGATTTCCTAAAACGTCCATTGGAGTCTCTCAATGGCTTGGCAACGATGCGAAATCATTTAAAAAATAGCGAACACACCCTCGCAAGAGATGGAAGAGAAAAGGCGCATATCCATCACGTGCTGGCGCATTAAAATAATGCTGATTGCGCCAGGCTAATTACATATTTACGCGTCGGAGGTTCGCAAATTGCAGCCGAACGATAATAATTCTGGGCTTGGGCGAACCGCGCGCTTCAATCTGCGTCAAGCGATGGGTTCTGCGCTGGGGAAATCGCGAGCATTAATCAAAGCGGAGGCAGAGGATGTTGCATGTGCTGATGTTCAAGTTCGGTTTATCAAATCGAGAGCGTCGGAGAACTTTCCTCGTACATTCACAGATTTCAGCCTGACGAGGAAAAGGAAAGAGCGATTCGGGAAATGAAGTTTGCTTTTGATTGATCAAAATTATTGCGCAATCAATTATAAAAAAGCGTTGGAAACCCCGCAGATGTTGAAGCAGTATTTTTATGTGCCTTTTTTCTTTTCGCAAGTTATGCAGTGATCTAATAAAAAACCTTTTTGCTTTCACAGTCGGTCTATAAATTACGCGCAGGCAGCGGGGCACGACCTCCTGACTTGTGGGCCACAGATGCTAAATTGAGCTGAGAAATTGCAAAGGATAACTTTTTGTTCGAAAGGTGCGCTGTTGACCTAAGAATTATTTTTTAACAACCGTTAACAACGCAAAAACACATTTTATATAATAAGAATTAAAGTTGAACTTTTTACGTTTATTATATTAATTAAAAAATAAATTAAATAAATGTAACAAAATTATTTAAAAGTTTAAAAACATCATAAAAAATCAAGGCAATAAAATTTTAAAAATTTAACAGCCCCTCTGCAGTTTTTATACCAGGGAGGCTTTTTTTATAATCAGAGAATAAAAGATTTTATACCGCGGCTGAAGAGGCCTTGCGGGAGGGGCTGAACTTTTGAGGAAAAATTTATAAGCACCGTGTGTGTTAAATTACCAGCAGACCTAATTAAATCTCCTAAATGGCGTGTTTTCCGAAGGTGCTGCAGCAGTCCGGCGCGGTTGATGCTGATAATTGCTTTTCCTGGCCGCCGAAATGGGTTGCGAGAGAGGCTTTGTTTGGGGGCTTCTCTCTCTAAATCACGCTCCTGATTGCAGCCTCTTGCGCGTCTTATTATTATGTTAAACGCTCACTACCGCCCACTCTTAATTGCATAAAGCCTTTTTCATATATTTGCCCCGACGGAGGAGAAAATCAAATGCACCCCACGAATAGCTCACGCGGCTGCGGTTTGGAAAACAGAAGTTTGCGCCGCAAACCTGAAATTATCGGCGCTCTCCGCAGCTAATGAAAACTTGCGGCTTCCAAAACCACCAAACTTTCGCCACTTGAAATAGAATTCGGCACGGGTTCAAGGTTTCATTTCACTGCAAATCAATTTTATATATTTTGCACATCTCCAAATATTAAAAAAAACAAATTTGAAAAAAATTAAATTGATTTTTGGTTAGAAAATTTAATTTGTAATTTATAATATTTAAATTTTCTTAAGAGGAGAATATATGACGATGCGGATAAAAGCTTCCCTGGTCATAAATTTCTGCAAACATCTTCAATTATCCGGCAAATGTGCTACAAACACCACGTAACTGTTTATTCAAATGAGCAATGGCAATAATTTTTCAACCGCGTGTGCGAGTATTTTGACTCATTTTCAACGACGATTCATCTTCAACCTGACGACTCGGAATTAATTACGATAAAAATAAATGCGAAGAAAAAAAAGAAGCTGTCAAAGGGGGAATGGAAAAGAGTGAAGGGCTAATAAAAGCGTCATCTTAAGAAGAAAAATGGGATGACAATAAATCCGACGGATCAAAAATAAATAGACACGTACCTTCTTCACAAGTGGGTCCCTTCCATCCGAGCTGGCAATTGCACCTGTAGTTGTTGACCAGGTCGTCGCAGGTGCCGCCGTTCTTGCAGGGCGAGGAGACGCACTCATCGATATCTGTCAAGACACAAGAAGAAGCTATGTGACCTCGGTGCTGCGCGAGAGCAAGGCATTAAGCAGGAAACGGGCGCACACAAGGGTTCGCCAAGGAATTTTTTTTCTCGAGACTTGACGTTAAGAATCTGACAGAGAGACACTGAACTCAAGGGAGAATCGATCAAGGTGTGCAACTGATTAAGCAGGACGTCTAATTATTTTTAATAGGCTCTAAAAAAGGTTTGCCCTTGATAAAAACAAATTTGTAGGTTACAAATGACAGAAGGTGGGGATTATTATTATTATATATTAGCAAATTTTTTAATTAAATGTGTTCGTTTATTTAAATTTAAAATTATGAAGATTTCAAGATAACAATCTGAATTTTTTTTAGTCATTTGCAATTGCGCAAGACTCAATTGACAGTTACTTTTGCGTTTTCACCTTGATTGATGGATTGGCAAAGAGGCTGCTTAAGCGCAGCAATCGAACTTTGAACTCACTGGTTTCGCAAGTGTGTCCGGTCCATCCGGGGGCACAGGTGCAGTTGAAGTGTCCGTTGGCTTCGGAGCAGACGCCTTTGTTCTTGCACGGGGCAACGGCACACGGGTTCTCCACGATCTCGCAGTCGATGCCTGAGAAGCCCTCGGGGCAGCTGCACTGGTACTTGTTGGGGGCGATGTTGTTGCAGGTGCCGCCGTTGTGGCACGGCGCGTGAGTGCCGCAGTAGTTGAGATCTGCCCGACAACAATTAATGCACTCTCATTAATTTCTCTTTTGTCTCTGGCTGCGTGGCTCGCGGTCGTGCCCATGCGGCGAGGCCGCTTTTTTCCCTCCGCCTTTTCAAAATGCAACACTTCTCAGAACATTTTGTGATCCGTCGAGTTTTGGGTGCTCGCGCAAAAAACCGTTTCAAACCAGGCGGGCGACGCATCGACGGACGACAGGTGGATTTTGACAGGTTTTAATCATAATTATTTTATTTTAATGAAGATTAACTTTGATGATTTGCAGTTTTATTCATTAATATTTTACCAGATTTTATTAAAAAATAGTTTTTGATAATTATCAAATTAAACAATTTAAAATTTTTAAAAAAATTTTCTTTTAAATTTAAATTAATAAAATTTGCAATAATTTTCTTATTTCTAGGAAATTTACAATTTAAAGGATTAATTAATATAAAAATACTTAAAAACATCAATTAAAAATATAAATAATAATCAGTAATAAGAGCATTATAAATTAGTTATAGAGGAATAAATTTTATATCTGGATATTGAATCATTGACTTCTCGGAATTGCGATAAATGTTGATATTGTACAAAAACTGCGATCACACAACGCCAGGGACAAAAACGCCGTGAGATGCAGCAGTGAAATGGAACTGGTCAAAAACCACCTGTTGCCAAACCAAGGTTCAAAAGTGAGCGCGTCGTCGTCGTCTGCGTGCTCTTCGGAAAAACGGGTTTGGCGATCTTTTTGCACCGCGAATACTTGCACTCGCGGCGGCGGCGGCGCGGGCCCAATTTGGGCGAGCCAAAAGACTACAAGTCGGCAATTAAGCGGGTACACTGATACGACTTTGTCTCTGCGCCGCGGAGCAGCTGAGAACCTGGGATTGTCCCAGGCCGCGGCGGATGTTAATTAATTGATTAAAAGGCCGGTCAGGAACGGCTGAATGGCGCGGCGTGAAAAAATATTGGCTCTCGTTTTGTCACAAGCTCTAACGGGTGTTGCATGCGAAGCAGCGTGAATGAGAACAAAAACGCACACCGCGCGTTTATGTCATGACAACTCATGCCGACGGGGCTCTCGAATCTGGGCGACTTTCCCACTGCGTGATTTGTGTTGATTCCATTTTTTACTGGCATCACTTCAAGTTCTCATCAAAAAATGAAATAAAAAAATTATATTATACTTTTATAAGAAAGAGTTTTAATTTTTGTGGTTTTAATTTTTTACATTTTAAAAGTGAAATTAAAAATAATATATAATTACCAATTAATTATACATAGAAGAAATCAGATTGATTTTTTTTTCGTGAAATAAAAATTTTGAATTTTTCTAAAATAAAGTAAAATTGTTTTGTGTTCATAATGTTTCTGCAAACTTAACATAAAATTTAATTTTTAGGTTAAAAAGTCAAAGACACCACACTATTTCTTCATAAAAATCTTTTTAGGATCTGAAAATTGTTAAAATAAAAACATTATTTAAAAATTATATCGTGGAATAAAATCACTTTCGAAGAGCCCCGAGCGGTATACATACATAATCAGGAGATAAAAAGTTGATTGTTGCTTGCACTCACCTTGGTCGCAAAGAATGCCACCCCAATTATCATTGCAAATGCACTCCCAAGGCTTGTTGCTGCAGTAGCCGTGCTTGCACCCCGGGTATGGCGAACACTTGGTGCACAACTCGCCTTCCCAACCTTGTCTGCAGCTGAAAAGCCAAAAAAACGTACGTTTAATACACCTACCGGTATGATATACCTCAGCACAGTCGGTAGCTGCCTCTGAGATTGAAAAAAATCGTGGGAAATTTGCGCCCGGTGGGAATTTTCAGTCTTTGTTGGCGCAGAATTATCGCCACTTTTCGATGGAGCGTGATCAAAGAAAAAAAAGAACGGTGGCGCAAATTGGACATTTTACTCTTTTTAGGGGCGAACAATTCGAGTTAGTCGCAAGAAGTGACGAAAATTCAAGGACATAACAAGAGTTTTTTTCTAGTAGAGTGAAAATTTTAAAAATGTGCTAAATGCTTTTTAACAACTGTTGTTGTAGAGGCGTTTTTCCCAAATAACGAGTAATAAAGATAATTATTGGCCAGGGCAAAAAATTATATCAATCATTCTTCACAACTCTCGGCTCTTGACAACGCAGAATTAAGAAATTTATTACCGCGCTTTGGAAAAAAGCTCCTGCGGTTGACTCGCGCACGGAGGCAAAAAATTATATTTTTTTGCTTGTTCCGCGAGAGAGGGTCGAAAATTGAAGAATCATCAATCATAATTTACTCATTTTCCAGACGAAACGCACAAAAAGAAGCATGAAATCTCCACTTACTCGCACTCCCCGGGTCGATCACACTTGCCATGCTGACTGCAACCTTTTTTACAAATAGCTGCAACAAATTACGCAGAGAGAGATGAGTTTCGGAGAAGCGAAATTGGCACTGAAATCTATAATTAATTGATTAGTGTATTGTATAATGGTGCGGCGCGGTAAACGGTCGACCGCCCCGTCCGCCCGAGGGGCGATTTTTTGCTCCACGATTTCCCTCTCCTCGCGCGGCTCCCGATGTGGAAGCTGCTGGCCTGATCTCTGCTGGCGCCAACAAGTGCGATAGAGACACAGACGGGCCACATAATAACCAGCCAGGGGGTCCATGAGTGTCAAAATAGAGGCCCTTGTCGATTGAGCCCCGATGAATAACACACGCTAGCTGCTCTGTTTGGATTTACCTGGTCTTTCAACGATTTTTTTGTCGCTTTTGTCAATTCGCACAAACAAACTGTATGTTTGAAAAGAAGCAAAAAAAAGGATATCTGTCTAGCCAGGGAAATAGAAGAAGTGTCTCGACGGAAAAGGGGAAAATTAAATTTCTGCTGGCGCCGTTTGGAGGATTTTCTTTTAGTAACACGGATTTTGTTTTCAAACTTTGGTTCTAGACACGGTTAGTTATTTTGTTTGGGCGGAGAAAACGAGTTTAAAAATAACACCTGATGAAAAATTTTTACACAGCAGCTTCAGGAACCGATTTGAAATTTTTGATTTAAGTAGATTGTTGGTTTTTCACAATTTTCAAACCATAAATTAAAATTACTAAAACATAGTGGAAGAAAGTTGCATGAAATATTTCAGTTTTTATCAATCTCAATTTGGAAGATTCTTTTATTAAATTATGATTTTCTTATAGGATTATTAAAAAATGAAAAAGCATGAAACTAATTGAAATATATGAATATTGTTACCTTAAAATTGTGCTTTCTTTTTTTTTCTAATATAAATATTTATTTTTAAAGACATAAATATTTGATGTATTTTGCTATTTTTTTATATAGATTTGAGGTTTCCTAATAATTGTGAGGATTTCATTCATCAATTAATTAAATTAAATACTTTTACTGTGCAGCTTTCATAATTATTAATTACATTTCCTTGCAAAGTCATCGGTTGAAAAATATTTTGACTAGAGCGTTATGTTAATAAATGGTGGTAATTAAGTTGATACAACTATAACTAAATCATGGGTTGATAACATAAGACACCCGTATATGCATCTTTTGAAAAGATAAATGAATCGCTTCTTCACCACAGGGCAAATGATTCATTTAGGAATAATGGGAGAAGTGTGGCGCATGATGAAGAAGAGAGTCGTGCTAATAGGAAATGACCTGAGGCGCGGATCAAGTGAATTTCTAAACACTCATGTCGCGGCATATCTCTCTCTCCTTGATGCGAGAGATGATGTTTATGGATTCTCTTCGTACAGTCGGCCATGCTAAAGAGAAAAACCGACAACTTTCGCTTTTGCTTGCTCGGTAAAATATGCACGCATTCCGTCCGAAGGGGAACAAAATTTGCATTGCTTGATTAAAAACCAAACGGCACAGTCAATTTTCACAAATGTCGTTCTGGGAAATGAATTGGAAACGCTCGTTTTAGTTCCCAGACACAAATACGGAGGGAACTGTTAGAATAAGAAGAAATAGAAAACAAAACAATTATAAAAATGTACAGTCTCAACTCAAAGAATTATTGAGAAGGAATAGCTAAGTTTCAGTACTAAATTTAGTTACCATGATAACTAAAATAATAAAAAAATCCAAATTTAAATATTGGAAAGGAATTGAAACAAACAAGAAAAAAAAATTAAATTTGGATTAATTTGAAATGCAATGAGATAAAATAAAATTATCCAATATAAAAAGGCGACTTACCAACATCACAGTTATTCCCCTGCCATCCCTCCATGCAGATCTTTTCGCCAGTTTTGCTGCAATTGTAATGCCCAAATTTGTCGTTCCGCGGCCTGCAGAAGCTCGTGCAGGTCACATTGTAGTAGTTGGCATCACATTGCACACGTATCCTATAGGTAAAGTTGGCCGTTTGACCTTTGTGTGTCAAAGTGTGCCATTCAGTGCTGGGCTCAATGATGCCTGAATAAGTGGCCCCTTCGATCAGACGGTCTTCGGCTGCGGAAAAGAGAAGCGTTTAGAGATGAATTCCCTTCGGTACTTGAGATTGTGCATTCCAAGCATGCAGCATCGCGGCCGTTAGACTCTGCATTATTCGGACGATATCAAACTCGTTTTCCCGCGACCGAGCGACGACTCGGCGCGCTGATTACAATTTCCAAGCACACTTTGCGCGTCGGGAAATATTTATAGACCCTGCAGACACGCGGGAATCGAGGCCGCGCGGCTTGAAATTTATGCATGAAATTTCCCGAAACCGGTGGAATTGGAAGTATTAATTCGTGTCGCGTTTGCCGGCTGCTGCTGATGTTAATTATTTTGTTATGACATATAAAAGTAAAGAGAATGTGTTGTGTATGCATGTGCTGTATGGATTGACGGTCACTTTGTGGGTTTTTGTGCCTTTGCACTTTGATCCTGAAGAAAGAAAGGCAAGAGGCTCCACAGAATTTCAATTCCGATCTGTGTCAACGCTGCAGGTTTTGTGAACAGGATTTTAGATATGCTGACGGCATAGACTGAAAACCCTCCGCATGGTTTGAAATTTTAATTAAAAATGTGGCTATGTGTATAGCAGAAAATTATAGAAATTAAATTTAAAATGTATTTTTGCATACGATCTAGCAATAAAATTTGGTCATTATGAAATGAAAGAAAAATCACTTACAATTTTAAGACATGTCAATTATCGTTACTTTAAAATAATTTTGCATTAGCTCTGATTCTTACAGTGGTAAAGTAGAATGAAAAATTAGAATCTTTTGTTGATAATCATTGATGACTCTCTACGTGTTATCAAAATGAAGATTGGAATTACATATTTTTAATTAAGTTAATGTAAGACAAAAATTAAACCCGTAATTGTATTTAATATTATTTAATAATTAAAATTTCAAATACACAGAATAAAATTGCAGAAAATTATGAAATTTTATAAATGATTTTATAAAATATAAAATCACACAAATTTTAATATTAGTTCTCAGTTTATTATATTTTTATTTCTATTTATAAAAATTTCTAAAGCATTTATGCAGTTGGTTTAGCTAAAAACAATTAAAATTAATTAGAAATAATGCAGAGCCAGAATAAACAAATTAATTTATAATAACAATAATCTAGGGAAGAAGTCGGCAGGAGGATGTGTTTGATTCAATTTAAAAATTCCGGATTCCATAAAGGAACTACCGCGTCGTGCTCAGTGAACCAAAAATTCCCATGGCATTCAGAACGATAATAACTCTGCGCTCGGGCACATGAGCTGATGATGAGAAATGAGAAGAGGCGCACCCACAGTCTTTTTACAGTGATCTGCTAAATTACTTTGAGTGAGTTTGACTGCGAGAGCAACACACTAAAATCCATTTGACTGCATCCGACAGAATTTCGGGCTCATTTATTTTTTATTGCTCGACTGCCCGGCCACTCGGGCAATTAAAATAAAATATATTCAAAGTTTATCTCGCACTGGAATAGCGTTTTCGGCAGCGCCGAATGCACGATGACGTGCAACAGAGAGTGAGTAGCCCTGAAATTATATTATCAGGTAATAATCATTTTCTATAACTCCTTTACATCGAGAAATTCGAAAACTAAACACACAACACACGCACCTGCGAGTTCTCGAGCGCACACACACACACACAACACAACTCACGACTTCTATTAAAGCCGCGCGCGGAAGGTTCAAACAGACGTAAAAAATAGAACTTTGAGAATAAAATATTATTCCAACGCAGAGAGAGAAAGAAAGAGAGAGAGAAGAAAACGCATGTTGGAAAAGGGTTCGGCGTGGCGTCGGATTTTAGAGGCAATAAAAATTAAATAATGGTGAGCTCACCTATCCTGGTGTTTTCGTTGTGTTTGTCAAAAGCTTGGAGAATCAAAGTGAAAGACCTCTGCAAAAAAGAAGTTAAACACAAATTAGTGAAATGAGCCGCTTTGTATGTAGGTTATGCATTGAGAAGTAGCGATCATACATTGACCTTTGACTTTCTACTTGAAGGAGTGCTGCTCTCTAGCCGGCGTGCGAGAGCAGAGCACATATGCAGGAAAAGAGCCTGCATTCTTTTTCAATTTGAATTTGAATGTGCTCGAGTACTTATTGAGTCGGGTGGATGCTGAATAAAAGGCCCCAAGAGATGATCCAATCGATTGTTAAGCGATCGGGGGCAGTGGCGCGGAGGAATCCCAATTAGGCGACGGCCGCGCGTGATTTTCGGCTTCTATTTTATAGGGGAGTCGTGAAGGAATTCCGAGGTTGATGCGAAAAAAAAAATACAAATAAAATGCTTGCGAAATATGAAATAAGTGGAATGCAAAATTAATTGGGAGATGCTTATTGTGGACCAATTTGTAGATTTCAATAAAAAAAATCAGCTTATATTTCAATTACAGGATATTGAAAAGTAATCACTCCCCAATGCTGGAAAAGGTCCAAATAAGCTGGATCCGCGATCTGCGTCTGGTGCAATATTTAATAATTGTAACAAAATGCAAAAATAAAAAATAGTGCATGACATATTATTTGTTTGTGGTAGAATTTTACGATCGCTAGGGTTGATTCACGGCAATTTTTGAATTTAAATTTGAATTTTCCTCGATGGGTTTTAGAGCAGTTTTTTGCTTTTTGGTGCACTTTTGCAGTTCATACGGCGGCACTTTTTACTATCTCCTGTTTATTGGCAGAATATTGTTTTTCTTAAATAATAAACGACAAAAAACTCAAGGAGAGTCCTACTTTAAATTTATTTCACCATCTAATGTTAATGTTTAATATAAATTAAATATTACATTTTAAAACATTTATTAATTTTCAACTAATAATAAATTTATTTTTATAAATTTTTATTAAAGAAAAATAGATAGGCAAGGAATTGATTAATTAATATAAAAAGTATATACTATTTAAATGGTTTATTATCTTTATTAATTTTTTCTAATATTATTTGTGCATTGCCCTCACAATGGACAATTAATTTGTTCTGAATAGATAGAAACATCGCTCTGCACTGTTTCTGCATCTTTTTATAATAAGTCTATCAAAACATATTGAAAGATTAAAATCTATATTGGATATTAAAATATATATTGAAGTAATCGGAGACTATATTTATTTATTTTATTTAAAATGAACAAATCTTATTTTTAATTAGAGCTGCTCATCAGTGTTTTTTAATGAAGCCTCTCAGGTCTCTCTGATAAATATCCAAGCTTATTAAACCGAATTTTTGTTTACAGAAACTTCAGGTTCAAAAGCTTTAGATTAAGATAATGCTTACAAAGGGTTTTAAGTAAATAAGGCAAGGCAAGGAATCATGAAAACCCTAATTAATATCGAAGACCCGCGCACTCAAATGGTGATTGATTGATGCCTCACATGAACCGGACCACCATCATCTCGCCGGCTGCAGATAAGCCGGCCGGGATCATTTTTCCGATTGTTGGGCGCTCATTGTTGTCTTGGATTGTAGCGCGGCCGGTCAATCAGGCGGCACCGCGCCTTCTCCTTACAAATGACGCGGCGCACAGCCGAAAATCACGCGGCGGATAGACAGATAATTTCATTGACGAACATGAATAATGAAAGCTCGCCTTCTGCCCGCCAACTACAAAACCGACCCGACGCTCAAGCGGCAGTTTATTAGTGCGCGCGGCCAGTCTTTCCACAGATGATGAATGATGGTGGAAACGAAAACGAGAACTATTTCTCACTGCCCGCGGGAGAAGCAGTGGTGGGTAATTTGCATCCTTCGTGCCCACGGCGCAGCCAGAGGTGGTTGTTAAGGACCCCTTTATATACCTGAGGCCTTTGTTGTTTTACCTACAGCACCGCTCTCTTGTATATTATTGGAAACCTCCTCTCACAAATAAAATCCCAGTGAGCGTGCATATTTATTCGGAAAGCGCGGGACAAAAGGAGAAATTCTCCCTTTCATTCGTCGCGGTGACCAATTTTCCCCCTGAGCGCGCTGCACATATTTTTGCTGCATTTCCCCTGAGGAAAAAAAGGTTTGAATGGCCCGTTTTTCGAGAAAATTTCGCCGCTCGTGAATAGTGTCGGCGGCCGTCTATTCAGCAGGTCGTAAATTTGGGCAGAAATGTGCTGACGTGGTTCGGAATGTCGGCGGATAAATACGAAATACATAAACCACGTCACCGCGTGGCCGCCGCCGACTTTCCTAATTAAATCGAGGAAACATTTTTGGTGGTCCAAATTGGTTAAACTTTTATATATATGTTTTGTCTCCCTTGAAGAGAGAACATTTTTGTTCTCGGAATCTCCGACGCGGGACCAGTTTTATTATTTTTGAAGTAGAGAAAAAGAGTAAAGATTTTAATGAGGAGAAGCTCTATCAGTTCGAAAATTAATAATAACCTTCATTTTTCCCTAACGAAACGATTTTTATTATTGGATCGGACTACACGCTCTTAAAAAATATATATCCATCCATCTCGCTCATTCGCTGGCTCGGGCCCGCCGAACCGACGTGCAGGCTCTGTTGGGATAAAAAGTGGTAGGTACAGACAGAAGCATAATATATACTTTGCGTGACTAGAGGCCTTCTACCTGTAGCTATTACCTGCCCTGGAGTATGGAATGTGGCCTCGGGAGCCCCCTCTCCCCTGGAGCAACCAACTATCCGTGAGTGTGCGCGCCTACAGCTCTGGGTGTTGCATCTTCATAACCAATTTATTTCGACTGCTTTTATAATAATACAAATTATAAATAAAAATGAAAAGTCACATCGGCGGGCACAGGTGGAACCAATTAGGACCCAGGACGATTCGCTCGCCGAGACACTGCCCTTTTCTTTTTTCTCGTGCCGCCGAAACGTACCTCGAGGAAACATGTAAGCGAGCACCGCTTATGGGTCGGGTGCGCGTTTTGTGTTTTCACGGAGCAGTTCCCAGGCAACGTGCTCCTTTCTTATGTCGATACAGATAATGATACGTGATTTCTTCGTATCGTCAGCAGAAACCGGGAAATTAGTAACGGACGAGCTCCCATTTTTTCCACGGCCGTGCAGCAGCTTCTGCCGCTCAATTAGATTATTAAAACCCTCTCGACTGCCCAGCGATTTGTGCGAAATCGTGCGAACGAAATTATTGCCGAGTTGTTAACTTGTTTGCCCAACAGATATAACGTTTCAAAATTATTTAATAAAATTTTATATGTTCAATCAATTTCAGTCAATGATGGAACAACGTTTTAATTTTTTTTAACGAACTAGTTTTTCTTGAATTATTTTCTTAAACATTATAAAATTGCATTCAGGAAATTGCTAAAATACTGTTGTATAAAATCCCTCCCTGGCCGCGCGCAGTCATAAATCTTGAGGAAAATAATTTGCGTATAAATCTCGTTTTTCAGCCGCCAAATAAATTATCATATATACGCGAGAGGGAAAATTTTGTGCGTTTCTCGAATCGGTCGATGGCAAAAACTCGTCTCCACACCCTGTTTGAAAGTGCTGTCAATCAATAAAAATTGTGAAATATAAATCGCAGTCAGAACATTTCCACATCCACCGCCGCGACGAGCAAGGTTTCCGCCGAGTCCACTTTTTATTGTCGGGCATTTTTTCTGCAGTGGCGTGCAGAAAACTTTTGTGTGCGCGAGCGTTTCTCTCTGTTTTATTGGATATATCAAAAGGCGGCCATATTTTCTATTAATTCGTGCAATTTCTCAAGAGCAGAGAGATAGATATTGTAAAAATGTGGAGAAACGAATGGCCTTTTCCGAGAGCGTGTGTGATGCCGTTTCAAAATTTTATAGAATCTATATTATATTTTTATATACTCTGCTGCTGGCCGCGAGAGCAGCGCGAAATCCACGAAAAAACAACGCACCACTGCCGTGCTGGAATCCGTCGGCGGGCCGTCGTGATGATTTTCCAATTTCGTGATTGCAATCTCGCGGCGGAGAGAGAAGAGAAAAATGTATAAAAATATATATCGGAGACGATGCGCCATCTGCGCGAGAAATCGTCTTAATTATCCGTTCACGCTCGTTAAACTACTGTAATTTATCGATTGTATAGTGGCCAGAGCACAGTTTGGCTACACAGAGAGAAAATATGAATTCGGCTTTTGAGAAGTAACGGTGGATTGTTCAGGTTCAGGAGTTATATTGCAAGGAGGACGATCAGCAGCAGCGAGAAGAGGAAATTGCTACACATTTATATCTGTTCAATGCTCAAACAAGTGCGCAACAGGTTGAAAAATGCAAAAGTAACTCAGATTTGAGAAATGAAAATTTAGAAAAATTAATTGATGTCAAAAAATGTGAGTATAGAAAGCATAGAAACAAAAACTACAATATTGAATCCATCGATTGGAGAGAAAAGAAGGCACGCGATGTGACACAGGTTGCCTATATGCAAACGTTTTTAGAGCAATACTTTTTCTTTGTGTTTAACAAATAATTTAATTGAAGTTAAATACATTTTTTTTAAGAAGCTACTTTATTTTCATTGGTATAAGAAAAATTTGGGATTCTAATATTTTTTAATAATTTTATTGGTGTTTTTATTATAGATAAGTCTCTCAAAAGCATTATGGAGTATGATGAAAAAAGTTTGGTTTATGAGTGAAACCACAAGTTTTGACAGGTCCTTTAAATACCACTCAACTAAAAGCATTGAATTACCGCAGAGCATGCAGAGCAAACCGTTTACGAATGCGTTTAATAAAAACACACACATGAGTGTGCTCCGAGCGTCGGCATCTTCTCTCTCATGTGTGTATGTACAAAAAGGTGTGTGAGTTGGTTCGATGCATCAGGTGTCAGATTCTCTCTCGCTCCATCCGTCCCACTCTGACGCATGCCATCATCTCTCATAATCTGAAGACTCTTTAATCAGAAAAGAATGGGCAGGCATGCTCGCTCGCTCCT